CAAAAGAGAGAGATGCATTGAATATTAGTTGTATTTTATAAATATTTTCATTTTGTTTACTTTAAATATTTTTGTGTCATGTTTTTCAATTAGTATATTTCATTTTTACCATGTATTGCTTTCAATTGTATTTGTTTCTTTCATGGTCTTTTACAAACTTATTTTATCCTGGTGTAATGATGTAAAATGTGCTGGAGAGATTTGCGGATACAATTTTATATGTACTACTTTTTATGATGTTGAAGTATATTTATGTGCTTGTTCTTCAATAATTGTCAACAAGCCTTCATGATTATGAGTTAAACAGCTGCCTGAAAGCAAGTTGTTGTGTGTTGTGTGTGAGGTTTGTTTTGTATCCTCTTCTCTCTGCATTAGGGATAACTTCCATTTCTCCATACGAGATTAAGTTTATAGAGAAGGGATTTGTCATTAAGTACCGTCTTCTAGAGATACAGCAAAGATGATTCCTTCGGCCAGATGTCTCTTGTTAAGGTGTGCACTACAGTAAGTTCTGTTTTTGGATCTGCTATTGATTAGGGATGGGATAGGCCACTGCAGGGAAAAATTACTGAGGTGAACGGTACACAATTCACCACTTGTTCATCCCGCGATAATGCAATTGGTCATGAGAAAGTAGGGTATTCTTTATGTTGACACTTCCACTACATTAGGTGCATTTGGGGTTGACTGACAAGCAATGCTAACATGGCCACACCCCCCCCCCCCCCCCCCCCCCCCCCCCCCCCCCCCCCCCCCCCCCCCCCCCCCCCCCCCTGTCTACATCTATAACAGCACAGAGGGCTTTGGCCCACACACCAACCCAAGTTACCCAAAGGTTATTAAAAATTCACAAGACATTATTTCGAGAAGTAAAGGGTAATCAAAAGTAAAATTTTGAAGTGGAAGTGGGGAATTCATTTCCATCTCTTTCTGTTTGATCCAAAGTATTATAACAGCCTGTGCCTTTGAAGGATTTCAACTCACTTTTGCATGCTGAAATGTTTTATGACTCATAGCTCTTTGGCAAATTGAGGCTAAGGACGGAATGCGGTAGTCACTTTAACCTGGACGACTGATCTTCCTTGAAAGATGTTTTCCAATTGTGGTTGACAGTGCAGGCTTCGAAGAGAATAGTACCTTATCTTCTCCTGAACCATGTCTGAAGCTTCCCAAACAATCATTGATGCCCAGAGGATGTCCAAAGAAAGGACGATCTTGTTTCGGTCACACCTCCATTGTCAGGAAATGCATATTCAGATTTTCCCGAGTCTCTCTCAAGAAGAAAATAATGACATCAAGATTTCTATTTTCCTAAGGCTTCAACACTCCTCTTTTGGCAAGAGAGTAGGGGAGATCTTGGATCAGTGATGATTTCCAGTTCCAGCCAGTGGTCTCCACCCAACATGGAGCCCCCCAAAATGGAGACACTCCTTTTCAAGTGCTTGTGTTTGCCCAGGGATATAATAGGTAGTGGCAGATGCTGCTTTCACCTCCCATTCACTTGGAAAACACTCTCCACACCCTGGAGTCCAGCAACCTACTTTCCTAGGGGATTGATTTTGATCTTCCAATTTTAAAACATTTTGATCTGTGCACCAGACACTGTTTAAAACAACAAAACATTATCCACCGCTTGTAACTTTCCAAATTTCATCTTTGCAAAACAAGCTGCACATATTAACCTTCCCTTTCATTCAATGAACTCAAAAGGGTATCCATATATAGGATAAATGATTATTCTGAAGAACCCAAGTCTTTTTGAAGCCCCACTGGGGACCACACCAGCACCCTTTGGAATGCAACCATGGTGATACAACAGGGTGAGGGGTGAGGCATGGTTTTGTCCCTTCTGGCACCCTAGAATGAACATCACTCATTCACTCCAGTGGTTCAACAAGAAGTTTAGTTTGATAGAAAAGTTATTATCTCCAAATGCAAAAAAATAAGAATTATATATCTATTGGCATGATTGGTTGGTGGCCCAGCTGAAGCAAATTGCATGTAGCAACAGAACCTGATGGAAATAAATGTGTATTTTACGTAGATAGAATTACTTTCATAAAATTTATTCTTTGAATATTAAAGCATACTTTTCTAAGTACCACTTACTGCAAGTACTTTTTCTAAATGATAAGTCAATACTTCTTTTCATAGTCCGGAAGTTCAGACAATTATTTTCTGAAATAAGCATCAAAAACGCACTTACCTCTGGCTAAAAGCATGTGAACCAATGAAAAAATACAATTTAAAGTAATTATTGAAAAAAATTAGTAATTCACATTTCCATTCTACTCTAAAACTTCCATTAGCACTTACGGTGAAAGGAAATTATATTCTTCTTTGTCATCTTGATTCCACACGACCACACCCTATTCTGACTAAAAAATTGTATCTTTACTTGCAACTACTTTTGTGAAATGCTAGTTGTAAACTCCTTTTTGTAAATGGCATAAGTGAAAACTGAATTTATATGTGTTGATTTTTCACTTTTGTGTAATTCCAGCACTATGAATATACATTGAGAGCTCAGCCCTCAAAAGTTATCAGAGGCCATACTCAAAATTAAGAATGGGCATTTCTCATGAGTGGGGGTGGATTTTTAATGAAATGTTTTTTTTTTTTCTTTTTTTCTTTTTCACTTTAGAGCACATAGTATTTTAATGTAGACATTAATTTTATGTTTTTGACAAAAGCAAGATATCCATTTTTATACTTTTTAATTTATTCAGTTTCGACTAATAAGAGCTTTACATTGATTTAATTTATTTTAATGTACTTGCGTCCATAATATTATGAGATGCAACAAAACCTGTTTCTCCACAGAATCCTGAGTAGCCTAAGTCAATTCTCTTCGCTCAGAAATTGTTAATGTAGCCCATTGTATCAGTACATAATTTAAAGTTGCCTGTGACGCGCTATCTGCGATATTGCAGGTCAGCTGATTTCGGGATAACTAAATACATTGATTTCCTGATCAAAATGAACGGTCCCAAACCAAAAATTTTCTACCCCGACTTTCACTTGAAACAAAAGGAAGAAGCTCAATTACTCAGTAATATACTATAGCTCAATGGTTCATCCTGAACTGGTTTTTGATAAAAAAATTTCATTTTCTTCGCTTTCAGGAATTTTAAAACATTTAAAGGGCATTTTAATGTCATTTTTGGGATGTTTTAGTGTCATCAAAATCCTCCGACAATGCACTAACAACCTTTACCAAACACACATAATTTACCAAAACACCCTACCACCCTACTAAAAGTTAAGAGAAAAATTTGGAAGCCATTTTTGAGAAAATTTTGTTTTTGTTATTTTGTTAAAATTTGCAAATTTGCAAACATTGCAGGAAAACACCTTTAAGTTTCAAAGAAAAGTACACGGACCTAATGAAAAACTAATGATTGACAACAAATTCCATTTGAAGAAAAAAGTTCTACCTTTCAATTTTCGTAATGTAGGAAGACACTGAAAAAATTCAAACTTTTGCAATTTTCAACAATTTAAAGTTGACAGATAAAATTGGACCTTCATCAATAAGTGTATAAGAGACCCAAAACATATAGTTTCACTTTGAAAATCATGAAATCAATTTTCCGCAGGATTACATAAAATCCTCTATACTATGTACTGGTCTTTATTTTAAAGATGCAACTCAAGTCAGGTTAATACCACCCTTGTTTTGGTTCTTTGGCAACAGCAACGCGTGAAATAAAAACCCTTTTTTGGGGGGGACTTTTCTTTTTTTTTTCAAACTTGTGAGGCAAAAAACCCCTCACCCTGTCAACAGTCCATGCCCATAGATTCAGGGAGAAGAAATTGGCTGCTACTTTAGGTTGAGAGAAAGGGAAAGTACTTAATTGAACTGGCCAGTTATTCATGGTTGTTAGAACCACATTTAAGAAAGAAGAATACATTGGAAATGTTGATGAAGGATCAATGTACATTTTTGGTAAGTTTACTTGGCACTGAAGTGTCAGGAAATGTTTCAAGAACAATTTCTGGAATGCCAGTTCCCGACTAGACCACAATTTGTAGATTAATCCAGCGCTTCAGAACATGGACGCTAATCGACAGGTTGCCACTGTTTTTAAAAGAGGAGAAATAAAATTAACTAGAAATCAGTTTCTTGAAGCACTCTCCTGCAGACTTTCACTGTCGCATCCATTGTTTTTTTCCCTTCAATTTAAATTGACATACATTTGGGTTTCTGGCACTTCCCTGATCAATGTTTTGGGAAGGATCACCCAAATCTAAATCCCAAATGTTATGAAAATTCAAAAAGTCGTCAACTTTTTAGAATACTACTTAAAAATATATTCATTGCAACCACACATCCAAAAAGTCATCCAAAGTCCCTTTGGGTACAGGAAAACCCAGGTTTTAAGAGTTCTTGGACACTTCAATGTTCTATCTTTATTTTATTTATTTTATATAACAGGCGAACCCCCATTTACAGCTATGTCGAATATTAAAACGGGGAATGGGGGAAAATTGCTAATCCAACAGTAGCGACAGTTACAGGGTTTATATAATTTTGGCTGGTACAATCTATTTAATTATATTCACAATTGTTATAAATATTTATAATGGTGACAATTATAATGGTGGTTATCACAACAGCAGTGCGGATGCAATTTCACGTCACGCACATTACACACTGTCACTGCAGTTTCCTTCATAACTTTTTTTGACATGGCATAACAAATAAGACTTGAAAAGGTGCGATATTGTAAGAGTTTAATGAAAATGTTACATTAGCAAGAAGATGTTAAAGCCAGTGCAGAATCATATTGAGCGCATACCAGGACTAATACACACTTTCCATTTAATGACATTACAGCAGTATTTAAAAAAGGTACAAAAAAAGTGATGTGCATTTAAAAGAATATAAGAGAGATAGCAACAAAAATCATTTGTTTATTTTAATATTATCCTTTCACTTTCCTCATTCTTTAAAATTTAAAAAAGTATTTTTTCCTATACTTTAATAGTTCAAAGTATCTCTGGTAATTTGTTGACTGTAAATATTTCATGAACCCCCTTTCGATTATTTCTGAAATCAAAAACATTAGAAAATAACTAGACTGTAATCATTACGACTGCTAAAAACAAACTTTCATTGAGATGGGAAACGTAAACTCCAATTTTTTTTCTATAAGTAGAAATACCATGCCCCTATCTTCAATCCAACAATGAGTTTGTTGCTTCGATCAATGGCAAGACACATGCGAAGTGTAGTGGGGCATTTAAAATTCACTCAGTTTCCGGTGTAAATTAACCGCATGCTATTTCCGATTCCACACATTTTGGTCAGATTTCTCTATTGATGTTATAATATTGTTTAATTGTGCATTCGAATTCTTCATAATTAAAGCATATAATACTTACTGCTTTGTATGTGTCTTAATACATATACTCATAGTTTTGAAGGGAAAAAAATGAACTTCCTTTTATTTAACACTTCCTACAATTATTGTTACAATTTCCTAATGATCCCTTGAAAAGTGTAAGAGATGGGGTTTCAGACTTTTGACCGTTTTTAATTTTGTCAAATATCATCATCTATCTGCAGTGGTTAGGATACTATTTTACAAGAACATAAACTGAAGATCATTTCCAAGTTTAAAACGTTTCAATGTGTCGCTTATTAGAACAAGCAACTGAGTTAAACATGTTGATCTAAGATATCGAGATATTGTTAATGTGCAAAGTGTTAGCGAATATTCACTTTGAAAATATAGGAAGTTGAAAATCAGTGAGTGATCTGAATCCATGTTGCAATTTATATTGTCATTAGTCGTCATTCAAACAACTTGCCTAAAATTGGTCGCTAATTGTAGGCTTCAAACAATGGGGGTAACACATGCGCATCCTTATTTGACTGAAGTAATTTAAAACTACCACTTTCCCCACTGTAAGTTAAAAATAATTTAGACAACACTTACCATCATGAATTGTGTGAAGAATTCCCACATAGTTCTGGTTCTGTTGAACAATTGCCTAGAAAGAACCTGAGTGCTTGACTTGCTCCTTTCTGTGGTGTTACAAAATGGATGAATCTAATTCCTGTCATTAACAAAAGCAAAAAATATTTGTAAATTAACATACTTTCTTAATCAAATAAGAATAATATTTTCTAACTACTTTTGAGTAAGCCCTTTAAATTTTCTAAATTTAAATACAGTACTTTTTCCCGTGCTAATTGTTGAAAGATTTAGGCATTATTTGACAATATTTTGAACACAAGAAAACATAAAATACCAAATTAAGATATCATTTCGAAGATTTCTGCTCAGACACTACGTTACACCATATTTAAATGCTTCCTTTGAAAAATGTTTCAGTAGTTTTAGCAAAAGCATGTATGCACAAAGTGCTTCTTAGGCAGCGCAGCAATCTGTGAGCATGTGGCAGTCAACTAAAACTCGACAAATTGTTTGTCAACAGAAAGCGAGTAAATTGGACTTTGTAGATAGCAATGTTCTTATACCATTCCAAAATTTTGACAAAGTAGTTGACAGAAAAAAGGAAACAGAACTGCATTTAATACATTTGGAGATTCTAGCAATCTTCTGGTTACGAGCAGAGCATGAGTTCCACTTGTTTTAAGACACCCTTTCACTAAGGCGTGGCCAACTACAAGAAGCGAAAGGGCAATAGCTTTTAGGGATGGAAATCATGAATGTAAATGAAATAGGTGGATTTACGTGATCATTTCAGAAGTAGCACACAATTCATCTTAAATATTCTAAAGGAATACTTTGCAGTTCAAGCAGTGAGTCAATGTCCGTTACAGAGGAAACTGCATTTCCGTTCAGAACAAGTTTAGTTTCACCCCAACCTAACAGCACCCTGCTCCGTTGAGATAATGCCAATGCTGCAATACAAACAACCTGCGACTCACTCAAATCATAATGCACACAAACCAACCAAGTAAAACCAGAAAAAAAAAAAAAAAAAAAAAAAAAAAAAAAGAATGCACCTAAACATGTCGGGGTAATTCAACAGTTGCTATCCTACATATTTTTCACGGGGTAGTGAAGGGTAATTTATAAACAAGTTAATGCTGCAACCTTCGCTCATAATCAGTTGGCTCACTAAATGCCCTAAAATATTATGAGTAGAAAATATGTCTAGCTTTATGAACAAATATTTTCACTCTTTTAACATTAAAGCAAACCAAAGAATGCACACATTTATTTTTTGTAACTAGTCTATAATAAACCAGGGAACAGAGAAGGCCAATTTAATTGCAATAAAATATGAAAATAGTCAATTTAATTTTTACCCAAAATTTCAGATCTGAATGGCTTCCAGATTACATGTACGATGGGAGTAGTTATATCTGAATTTAACCCCCAACATGCTAAAAGAAGTTTTACATCTAATCTTGTAAAAACAGCTTGAAGAAAAAAAAAAAAATGAACCTCAATACAGTGTTTTTAAGAAACCTAGGAATAATATTTCCAAGTCATGTATAATCAGACACACATAAGAGAACAATTTGAACATGACGGAGAAATCTTTAAACTGCAAATTTTAATGACATATTTGCAGAAATTATGTTATATGCAGAACCCTGCACAATAATGTTTGTTTGATTCCTCATCCTTATTTTGTGTTTGCAACATTAGAAAAAGGGATATTGAAAAGAAAAGAAAAGAAAAAAAAGAAAAGAGAGAGAACGAGAGAGCGAGAGAGAAGAGAGAGAGACAGAGGAGAGAGACACAGAGAACGAGAGACAGAGGAGCCGAGAGACAGAGAGAGAGAACAGAAGAAGAGAGAGATAGAGAGAGAGAGAATAAGAGAGAGAGAATAGAGAGAGAGAGAGAGATTAGAAGAGAGATTAGAGAGAGAGAGATATAGAAGAGATAGAGAGAGAGAGATATAGAGAGAGATAGAGAGGAGATATAGATAGAGATATGAGAGAGAGAGATAGAGAGAGATATAGAGAGAGAGAGATAGAGAAGGATATAGAGAGAGACAGAAGAGAGACAGAGATAGAGAGAGAGATTAGAGAGAGACGAGATAGAGAGAGAGATAGAGAGAGAGAAGATAGAGAGAGAGAGATAGAGAGAGATAGAGAGAGAGAGATATAGAGAAGAGATAGAGAAGAGATATAGAGAGAGATATAGAGAGAGAGATAGAGAGAGATATTAGATAGAGAGAGATAGAGAGAGATATATAGGGAGAGAGATAATAGAGAGAGAATATAGAGAGAGATATAGAGAGAGATATAGAGAGAAGATATAGAGTGAGAGATATAGAGAGAGAGATAGAGGATAGAGAGGAGATAGAAGGGAGAGAGAGAGATGAGAGAGAGATAGAGATAGAGATAGAGATTAGAGAGAGAGAGAGAGAGAGAGAGCAGAGAGAGAGAGAGAGAGAGGAAGAAGATAGAAAAAGAAGAAGGATTATTTGAGATTCAATGAGAAATTTAATAATGTTGGTTTAAAGAATGTAAATGATAAACAATTCATTGTAATCAAGAGATCTTTTTAAAAGATAAACATTTTCCTATTTACATTATACACAAATTGAGGGTTACCTAAACTGCAGATTATAATCTTCCACATAAACAGTAGTGTATTCTGCCACCAAGTTCTCACACTTAATTGCAGAATTATTAATAAATCTAATCTAAATCTATTAATATATAAAATTTCAATTTATGAAGAGTTGATTGTATTTATCAACTAAACTCCTGACAATTTATTTAATGTATTTTTATTACTTGAAATTGTATATTAGTACTTTGTAACTTTCCCAATAATTTGTAAATTTCATAAAATTTACAATATTTATTAATTAGTTTCTAAACAATTAGCCTTGGGTGTATTGTCTCTCTGAATGAGTCTGCCGGGATACCAGTGTATTAAGTTTGCATGTTGAAACAAATGATGTTATTGAAACTATGAAATGAGTTTCTTATTTGATTATTCACACAGTACCTGGAGGAACTTATGAGCCCTCAAGGAAAAATCAGCAGTAGCCCCCAAAGTGCTTCGTCAGCTTCACGTGCTCGCAAACGCAAGAGGTTGAGGGATGGGGTGCGCTTGGTTGAGTCACCTTCCATTCACAAACGAAGATCATCCGTCAGTGATGCTGCATTTCTTAGCATGAGTGGCTCTTTCTTGGATTGTTCTACAAACTCGGAGAAAGGTGCTCTACAGAACTTAGGTGACTAACGTGTTGTTAATTTTGCTTCTTGACATGTCTAAAACCCTTTACTCCATTTGTACTTTTCAATAACCTCATCTATAATGTTTATAATGACTTGGGGAACTTGAGAAAAATAAAACAAACAACTAGTGGTAATTTTGTCTGATTTGCTCGTGGAAAATATCATGTCATAAAAAAGGAGAATAAATTTTTGTGTTTATGTGTGAAGATATAATCTGCAGTTTAGGTAACCTCAATTTGTGTATAATGTAAATAGGAAATGTTTATCTTTTAAAAAGATCTCTGATTACAATGAATTGTTTATCATTTACATTCTTAAACAACATTATAAATTTCTCATTGAATCTCCAAATAATCCTTCTTCTTCTTCTTCTTCTTCTCTCTCTCTCTCTCTCTCTCTCTCTCTCTCTCTCTTCTCTCTCTCTAATCTCTATTCTCTATCTCTATCTCTCTCTCTATCTCTCTCTTCTCCTTCTATCTCTCTCTATCTCTCTATCTCTCTCTCTATATCTCTCACTCTATATCTCTCTCTATATCTCTCTCTATTTCTCTCTCTATATTCTCTCTCTATTATCTCTCTCCTATTATCTCTCTCTATCTCTTCTCATCTAATATCTCTCTCTATCTCTCTCTCTAATATCTCTCTCTATATCTCTCTCTCTATCTCTCTCTATATCTCTCTCTCTCTATCTCTCTCTATCTCTCTCTCTCTATCTCTCTCTCTCTACTCTCTCTCAATTATCTCCTCTCTCTATCTCTCTTCTCTATCTCTGTCTCTCTTCTGTCTCTCTCTATACTCTCTCTCTATCTCTCTCTCTCTATATCTCCTCTATCTCTCTCTCTCATATCTCTATCTATATCTTCTCTCTCTATCTCTCTCTATATCTCTCTCTCTCTATCTCTTCTATATCTCTTCTCTCTATCTCTCTTCTATCTCTCTCTCCTATCTCTCTCTATCTCTCTCTCTTACTTTCTCTCTATCTCTCTCTCATTCGTCTCTCTCTCGTCTCTCCTCTCTGGTCGTTCTCTCCTGTCTCTCTCTCCTGTTCTCTCTCTCTGTCTCTCTCTCTCTCGTTTTCTTTCTTTTTTTCTTTTCTTTTCTTTTCAATATCCCTTTTTCTATGTTCCAAACACAAAATAAGGAATGAGGAATCAAACAAAACATTATTGTGCAGGGTTCTGATATAACATAATTTTCTGCAATATATGTCATTAAAATTTGCAGTTAAAGATTCTCCGTCATGTTCAAATTGTTCTCTTATGTGTGTCTGATTATACATGACTTGGAAATATTATTTCCTAGGTTCTTAAAACACTGTATTGAGGTTCCATTTTTTTTTTCTTCAGCTGTTTTTTACAAGATGAGATGTAGAACTTCTTTTACATGTTGGGGGTTAAATTCATGATATAACTACTCCATCGTACATGTAACTGGAAGCATTCAGAATCTGAAATTTTGGGTAAAATTAAATTGACTATTTCATATTTTATGCAATTAAATTGCCTTCTCTGTTCCCCTGGTTTATTATAGACTAGTTACAAAAAAATAAATGTGTGCATTCTTTGGTTTGCTTTTAATTTAAAGAGTGAAAATATTTTGGTTCATAAAGCTAGACATATTTTCTACTCATAATATTAGGGCATTCTAGTGAGCCACTGATTATGAGCGAAGTGCAGCATTAACTTGTTTATAAATTACCCTCACTACCTGAAAAATATGTAGGATAGCAACTGTTGAATTCACCCCGACATGTTAGAGTGCAATTCTTTTTTTTTTTTTTTTTTTTTTTTTTTTCTGGTTTTACTTGTTGGTTTGTGTGCATTTGAGTTTTGAGGATGCCAAGGTTGTATGTATTGCAGCCATTGGCAATTATCTCAACGGAGCAGGGTGCTGTTAGGTGGGGGTGAAACTAAACCTTGTTCTGACGGAAATGCAGTTTCCTCTGTACGACATGACTCACTGCTTGAACTGCAAAGTATTCCTTTAGAATATTTAGATGAATTGTGTGCTACTTCTGAAATGAATTCACGTAAATCCACCTTATTTCATTTACTTCATGCATTTCCATCCCTAAAAGCTATTGCCCTTTCGCTTCTTGTATGTTGGCCACGCTTAGTGAAGGGTGTCTTAAAACAAGTGAACATCATGCTCTGCTCATAACCAGAAGATTGCTAGAATCTCCAATTATTAAAATGCAGTTCTGTTTCCTTTTTTTCTGTCAACTACTTTGTCAAAATTTTGGAATGGTAATAAGGAACCATTGCTATCTACAAGTCCCAATTTACTCGCTTCCTGTTGACAAACAATTGTCGAGTTTTAGTTGACTGCCACATGCTCACAGATTGCTGCTGCCTAAGAAGCCACTTTGTGCATACATGCTTTTGCTAAAACTACTGAAACATTTTTCAAAAGGAAGCATTTAAATTGGGTGTAACGTAGTGTCTGAGCAGAAATCTTCGAAATGATATCTTAATTTGGTATTTATGTTTTCTATGTGTTCAAAATATTGTCAATTAATGCCCTCAAAATCTTTCAACAATTAGCACGGGAAAAGTACTGTATTAATTAGAAAATTTAGCTATACTCAAAAGTAGTTAGAAAATATTATTCTTATTTGATAAAGAAGTATGTTAATTTACAAATATTTTTTTCTTTTGTTAATGACAGAATTAGATTCATCCATTGTAACACCACAGAAAGGAGCAAGTCCAAGACATCAGGTCTTTCTAGAATTGGTTCAAACAGAACAGAACTATGTGGGAATTCTTCACACAATCATGATGGTAAGGTTGTAAATTATTTTAACTTACAGTGGGAAAGTGGTAGTTTTAAATACTTCAGTCAAAATAAGGATGCCATGTGTTACCCCATTGTTTGAAGCCTACATTTACCGACCAATTTAGCAAGTTGTTGAAATGACCGACTAATGACAATATAAATTAGCAACATGGATTCAGATCACTCAACTGATTTCACTTCCTATATTTTCAAATGTGATATTCCTAACACTTCATGCACATTAACAATATCTCGATATCTTAGATCAACATTTTTAACTCAGTTGCTTGTTCTAATAAGCGACACATTGAAACTTTTAAACTGGAAATGATCCTTCAGTTTATGTCTTGTCAAATAGTATCCTAACACTGCAGATAGATGATGATATTTGACAAATTAAAAACGGTCAAAGTCTGAAACCCATCTCTTACACTTTTCAAGGGATCATTAGGAAATTGGTACAAATTGTAGGAAGTGTAAATAAAAGGAAGTTATTTTTTTCCCTTCAAAACTATGAGTATATGTATTAAGACACATACAAACAGTAAGTATTATATGCTTTAATATGAAGAATTCGATGCACAATTAACAATATTATAACATCAATAGAAATCTGACCAAAATGTGTGGTATCGGAAATAGCATGCGTATTTACACCGAAACTGAGTGAATTTTAAATGCCCCAACTACACTTCCATGTGTCCTTGCCATTGACGAAGCAACAAACTCATTGTTGGATGAAGATAGGGCAATGGTATTTCTACTTATAGAAAAAAATTGGAGTTTACGTTTCCCATCTCAATGAAAGGTTTGTTTTTAGCAGTTCGTAATGATTACAGTCTAGTATATTTTCTAATGTTTTTGATTTCAGAAATAATCGAAAGGGGGTTCATGAAATATTTACAGTCAAAAATGTACCGAGAATACTTTGAACTATTAAAGAATAGGAAAAAATTACTTTTATTTTAGAATGAGAAAGTGAAGGATAATATAAAATAAACAAATGATTTTGTGGCTATCTCTCTTATATTCTTTTAGCAATGCACAATCACTTTTTTGTACCTTTTTTAAATACTGCTGTAATGTCATTAAATGGAAATGTGTATTAGTCTGGTTGCTCAATAATGATTTGCACTGGCTTTAAATCTTCTTGCCTTAATGTAACATTTCATTAAACTCTTTACAATATCGCACCTTTTCAAGTCTTATTTGTTATGGCCATGTTCAAAAAAGTTATGAAGGAAACTGCAGTGACAGTGTGTAATGTGCGTGACGTGAATTGCATTCCAGATGGTGTTGTGATAACCACCATTATAAATTGTCACCATTATAAATATTTATAACATTGTGAATATACATAAATAGATTGTACCAGCCAGAAATTATATAAAACCCTGTAACTGTGCTACTGTTGGATTAGCAATTTTCCCCCATTCCCCGTTTTATATATCGACATAGTGTAAATTGGGGTTCGCCTGTTATATAAAATAAATAAAATAAAATAGAAATGAAGTGTCCAAGACTCTTAAAACCCGGTTTCTGTAACCCAAAGGGACTGATGACTTTTGGATGTGTGGTGCATGAAATATATTTTTTAAGTAGTATTCTAAAAAGTGAGCACTTTTTGAATTTTCAATAACATTTTGGAGATTTAGTATTTGGGTGATCCTATCCCAAAACATTGATCAGGGAAGTGCAGAAACCCAAAATGTATGTCAATTTAAATTGAAGGGAAAAAACAATGATGCGACAGTGAAGTCTCAGGAGAGTGCTTCAGAAACTGAATTTCTAGTAATTTCTCCTCTTTTAAAACAGTGGCACCTGTCGATAGCGTCCATGTTCCTGAAGCGCTGGATTAATCTACAAATTGTGGTCTAGTTGGGAACTGGCATTTCCAGAAATTGTTCTTGAAACATTTCCTGACACTTCAGTGCCAAAGTAAACTTCTACCAAAAATGTACATTGATCCTTCATCAACATTTCCAATGTAATTCTTCTTTCTTAAATGTGAGTTCTAACAACCATGAATAACTGGCCAATTCCAATAAGTACTTTCCCTTTCTCTCAACTAAAGTAGCACCATTCTTCCTCCCTGAAATCTATGGGCATGCGACTGTGACAGGGTGAGGGTTGCTCAAAGTGAAAAGAAAGTCAAAGGTATTTCACGCGTTGCTGTTGCCAAAGAACCAAAACAAGGGGTGGTGTTACCTGACTTGAGTTGCATCTTAAAATAAAGACCCAGTACATAGTATAGAGAGAGTTATGTAATCCTGCGGAAAATTGATTTCATGATTTCAAAGGAAATATATGTTTTGGGTCTCTTATACACTTATTGATGAAGGTCCAATTTTATCTGTCAACTTTAAATTGTTGAAAATTGCAAAAGTTTGAATTTTTTCAGTGTCTTCCTACATCTACAAAATTGAAGGTAGAACTTTTTTCTTCAAATGGAATTTGTTGTCAATCATTAGTTTTTTCATTAAGGTCGTGTACTTTTCTTGAAACTTAAAGTAGTTTTCATGCAATGTTGCAAATTTGCAAATTTTAAAAAATAACAAAAACAAAATTTTCTCAAAAATGGCTCCAAATTTTTCTCTTAACTTTTAGTAGGGTGGTAGGGGTAGTTTTGGTAATTATGTGTGTTTGGTAAAGGTGTAGTGCATTGTCGGATTTTGATGACCTAAAACATCACCAAAAATGATCATTAAAATGCCCTTTAAATGTTTTTAAAATTCCCTGAAAGCGAAGAAAAATGAAATTTTTTTATCAAAACCAGTTCAGATGAACCACTTGAGCTATCAGATATATTACTGAGTAATTGAGCCTTCTTCCTTTTGTTCAAGTGAAGTCGGGTAGAAAATTTTTGGTTTGGACCGTTCTTTGTCAGGAAATCAATGTATTTAGTTATCCCGAAATCAGCTGACCTGGCAATATCGCAGATAGGCGTCACAGGAACTTTAAATTATGTACTTACAATGGCTGACATTACAATTTCTGAGCGAAGAAATTGACTAGGCTACTCAGGAATTCTGTGGAGAACAGTTTGTTGCATCTCATAAATATTATGTGACGCAAGTACCATTAAAATAAAATTAAAATCAATGTAAGCTCTTATTAGTCGAAACTGAATAAATTAAAAAAGTATAAAATGGATCATTTGCTTTTGTCAAAACATAAAATTAATGTCTACATTAAAATACATTGCTCTAAAGTGAAAAGAAAAAAAGAAAAAAAAAAACATTTCATTAAAATCCACCCCCTACTCATGAGAAATCCCATCTTAATTTTGAGTATGGCCTCTGATAACTTTTGAGGGCTGAGCTCTCAATGTATATTCATAGTGCTGGCAATTACACAAAAGTGAAAAATCAACAAATATAATTCAGTTTTCACTTATGCCATTTCAAAAGGGAGTTTACAATAGCATTTCAAAAAGTAGTTGCAAGTAAAATACATTTTTTAGTCAGAATAGGGTGTGGTCGTGTGGAATCAAGATTACAAAGAAAATATAATTTCCTTTCACCGTAAGTGCTAATGGAAGTTTTAGAGTAAGAATGGAAATGTGAATTACTAATTTTTTTCAATAATTACTTTTAAATGTGATTTTTCATTGTTCACATGCCTTTTAGCCAGAGTAAGTGCGTTTTTGAATGCTTATTTCAGGAAAAATAATTGTCTGAACTTCCGGACTATAGAAAGAAGTATGACTATCATTTAGAAAAGTACTTGCAGTAAGTGGTACTTTGAAAAGTGCTTATTAATTTCAAAGAATAATTTATGAAGTAAATTCTATCTACGTAAAATACACATTTATTTCATCAGGTTCTTGTTGCTACATTGCAATTTGCTTCACTGGGCACCACCAATCATGCAATAGATATATAATTCTTTTTTTTTGCATTTGGAGATAATTAACTTTCTATCAATAAACTCCTGTGTGAACACTGGAGTGAATGAGTGATGTCATTCTAGGGTGCAGCAGGGACAAAACCATGCCTCACCCCTCACCCTGTTGTATCACCATGGTTGCATTCCAAAGGGTGCTGGTGTGTCCCCCAGTTGGGCTTCAAAAAGACTTGGGTCTTCAGAGATAATCATTTATCCTATATATGGATACCCTTTTGAGTTCATTGAATGAAAGGAAGGTTAATATGTGCAGCTTGTTTTGCAAAGATGAAATTTGGAAAGTTACAAGCGGTGGATAATGTTTGTTGTTCTTAAACATGTCTGGTGCACAGATCAAAATGTTTTTAAAATTGAAGATCAAAATCAATCCCCTAGGAGTAGGTTGCTGGACTCCAGGGTGTGGAGAGTGTTTCCAAGTGAATGGGAGGTGGGAAAGCAGCATTGCCACTACCTATTATATCCCTGGGGCAACACAAGCACTTGAAAGGAGTGTCTCCATTTTGGGGGCTCCATGTTGGGTGGAGACCACTGGCTGGAACTGAAATCATCACTGAATCCAAGATCTCCCCTACTCTCTTCCAAAAGAGGAGTGTGAAGGCCTAGGAAATAGAAATCTTGATGTCATTATTTTCTTCTGAGAGAGACTCGGAAAATCTGAATATGCATTTCCTGACAATGGAGTGTGCCGAACAAGATCGTTCTTTTCTTTGGACATCTCTGGGCCATCAATGATTGTTTTGGGAAGCTTCAGACATGGTTCAGGAGAGATAAGGTACTATTCTCTTCGAAGCCTGCACTGTCAACCAAAATGGAAAACATCTTTTCAAGAAGATCAGCGTCCAGGTTAAAGTGACTACCCATTCCGTCCTAGCCTCAATTTGACCAAAGGAGCTGAGTCATAAGAACATTTCAGCATGACAAAGATGAGTTGAAATCCTTCAAGGCACAAGGCTTTATAGATACTTAGGATCAAACAGAAAGAAGATGGAAATGAAATCCCCACTTCCACTTCAAATTTTACTTTTGATTACCCTTTACTTCTCGAAATAATGTCTTGTGAATTTTATAACCTTTGGGTAACCTTTGGGTTGGTGTGTGCCAAGCCCTCTGTGCTGTTATAGATGCTAGACATTGGCCATGTTAAGCATTGCTTGTCAGTCAACCCCAAATGCACCTAATGTAGTGAAGTGTCACATAAAGAAATACCCTACTTCTCATGACCCCATTGCATTATCTGCAGGGATGAACAAGTGGTGAATTTGTACCCGTTCACTCAGTAATTTTTCCTGCAGTGGCCTATCCCTATCCCTATCAATGACAGATCCAAAACAGAACTTACTGTAGTGCACACCCTTAGACAAGAGACATCTGGCGAAGGAATCATCTTTGCTGTATCTCTAGAAGAGGTACTTAATGACAAATCCTTCTCTATAAACTTAATCTTCGTATGGGAGAAATGGAGTTATCCTAATCAGAGAGAAGAGGATACAAAAAAACTCACACACACACACAACAACTTCTTTTCAGGCAGCTGTTTTAACTCATATCATGAGCTTTTTGACAATATTGAAGAACAAGCACATAAATATACTTCCAACATCAATAAAAAGTAGTACATATAAAATTGTATCAAATCTCTCCAGCACATTTATACATCATTACACAGGATAAAATAAGTTTGTAAAAGTACCATGAAAGAAACACAATACAATGAAGGCAATACATGTAAATGAAATATACTAATGAAAAACATAGACACAAAAATATTAAAGTAAACAAATGAATATTTATAAAATACAACTAATATTCAATGCCTGCAAGGCTCTCTCCTCATGTGAGAGTGAGCCTTGCAGGCGCTACACTATTTACACGGATTGCATTTGATGCTGCAGGCGATGGAGACTGCATAGTTTCTACAGAAAGTTTGTTGCAGCCCTCAATCACATTGTTAAAAAGAACTGTCTGAGATAATCTAAAGTTTTCTTTGCATAATCTGAGAGGCTGCCCTCTTAGGTGAGTATTTTGCAATTTGCTACAGGTGTGATTGAGCTTTGGTATTCTGGAAAATATGCTCCATGTGTGAAGTATTTTAAGTTTCAATAAGATCACTTCTATATTTTTGCTCTCCAAAAGGTCATGTTTAATTACTTGTTCTTAAAATGTTAGATGTCTGATTTTCTGGGGAATGTTCATTGCCTTTCATTGTACCCTTTCCAATAATTTGGTGACTAATATTTTCAAGTGTGTGTGGAAGTCGGTGCTTTTTGTTCAACAACCACTGAGGGTATAGTAGAAACGGGTTCTTCTTGCCAATATGTAGAATGAAACATTTATGCATATTTGTCAAAGTATCATGTTTTGCAAAAATGGGAAATGGAAATTTCAATTCAGAATAATGGAGTAACCTAATTGTGAAGTAATTCATTTGAGTTGCCTCAAATTATAGATGTCAGCTGTGAGGCAATAACAGAAATGACATTCAGGATCTTTGAAACTCATGTAAATGACCTTACTGAAGAAGAGTTTCGGGAATTCATCAGAGCAGAAACTTCGTAGGCAGTGGTAATGAAGAGGAAGAAATAGAAGAAACTGCATCCTAGAGCTACTTCAGTGTCTAAGTGACATTCTAGAACTTCAGCAAGCTCTAGTGGAAAGGGCATTCAAATGCAATCTGAAAATGGAAAGAACTTTGAAATTTAAGAGAGAGAAAGAGTAGTCAGCAACTCTTCCATATTTGGAGATTTTGAAGGTTATGAGGAGTGATGAGGGGAATTGGTGAAACAAACAAAAGTAATCAAATACTGTGTCCAATAATTCTCAACTTAGAAGTAACTTCCAAATTCATTTTGGGATGTTAATAGTGAACTCTATTTGTTGTAGTGCATACTTAATACTTCTGCAATTGTTTGTCAGGTAATTTTTTCTTCCTTTTTTAAAAACTTTCCTGATTCCAAAATAACACAGTTAATGAAGTGCTGTATAGGGACTTTGTCAAAGGTCTTTGAGAAGTCCAAATAAGTAATGTCAGTTTGAGTTCCCTTATCCATGTTAAATGTCCACGAGTCAAGGCATTTGAGCTGTTGGTCTCTGTAGGTCTTCCCGGGACAAATTCTTGTTGTGCAGGGGGTGTTCCAATGGCAAGAATCCATAATGCAAGTGTAGACTTATTTCTGCCACTGGAATAATGTTGTGACTCACTGCAAAGTCTATAATTTTCTTGATTAAAATTTCCTCCATTAGTTGCAAACATTGCTGTTAAATTAAATCAGTGTCTGTACTAGTATTTACTTGTAAATGTCTCCCAAAACTAGCTATACCTTTCTACAATTAATGTCAAAGAAAATTGCTTCCATATGTTTGCTTTTCAAATCTACTCTGACCTTCACTGCAATTTTTTAAATGTCTGCAATATATGTGGCAACACTATCTGTTCTTCAGGAAATGTTTAAATTATTATGTTCAGGACGCTACAGTTGGGTTGTACAGAGCTGAAAAATGTATCATTGACACTTTTGAAATCGGTTTATATAAACTCGAGTCTTATTAATAATTTTTGTACACTGAATATATCCAATTGCAGTTGCATTATTGCCCAATATTCATCTAGATTGGTTAGGAGAGGTGCCTTTGTGTTTAATTGTAAAATCATTTGTGATTTTGACTTTTCTTATTACATATATCCTCAGTTTAAAAACATAAATTATGTCTGGTGGGTTTTGTAGAATTGGTTTTGTTTTTGAACTATCAAAATTGCCTAAGCAGTTTCTTTTTTAATTTTATCAGGATAGATATCGTTTTTTTTTTCTCACCTTCAGACAGATTGTAAACAGTAATACGTTTGCCTTTATTTTGTCTATCTGCCATTTCAAACTAAATCCCTCTCATTGAGAGTGAAACTTTCATATAACTTATCATTCTGGGAACACTTTTGTTTTCTATGACATCTTTGCTTGAATCAATTAAGGTATCTGGAGTAAAACATTTTTATGATTTTCAGAGTGAAGTGTTATGTTGTGCTTTTCCAACTGCAATGTATGGTTTCATTTATATCTGTACATACAGAATTTACTTTGGAATTACTTGTCTGTGCATACAGAGTTTTATTTGGAACTATTGCAAACAATTTAATTTTAGGATGATTGCATTTCAAACAGATCATTGCAACAATGTAATTTCAATAATTTCGGTCTTGGGTAATTTTTTTAGAAGAATAATACAACAAAGATAAGTAATTTAGAGTATTTCCTATACTCAATTGAGTATAGGAACACAAGTACAGCTTAGTACAACATTAAATCCTTCTATTTCTTTGAATTACATAAGAGCCCACAACTATGGCACAGAGCACTTGTTAGCTTACCTTTTATTTACCAAATTTTCATAATGTTCGTTCCTCTTGCCCTTTTTCTGTCATTTTGTTTTACCACTAATTAGATAAGATTAATTATTGAATCTCTGTATGTATTTTAGTTAGTATTTTAAAAAAGGTTTTAACTGACCACTGTGTTTGTAAGATACTTTGACCCGAGTGCAAATGACCTTTGAAGTTGAAGCGCCCTTTAACCTTATTTATCATCACCATTACAACGGTGCTTGGACCATTTTACAGGTACAGAGAGCAAGGTTCCCAACAGATGGTGCTGAGCGCATTAGCCCAGAGGTCCATTATGTTGCACACAATCTGAATAATATCATTATTTTACTAGACAAGGAATAGAATTTGGAAAAAGTTTGAGATTCAAAGGTCATACTGGAAGCGTACACTATTCCAGAAGACAACTGAAAACAAACCTGCCTTACACACGATTCGAATTCACTGCTTTGGTGTTATATGCCTTGGGGACCCAAGTGCCTGCACCACCAGGCTTGCACTGCTTTTGTCATGAAGATTATAAACACTTATTTAAGGGTAAAAAATATTAATTATAAAATGCAAATTTAATTATATTAAATTTATGAAAGCTTATTAAACCATCGCAAATTCGTAATCGTCGTTAATTGTAATGAAATTACTAAAGAAGTGTAATCATTCACAGTGGGCGTTAATATAGATATTGCTTTCTAGTGGTAGCCTGTGGTATAGTGGAAATTTTTCTTTCAAACATTTTGTCTGCTCCTGTAGTAGACATCCTGTGAGCGGGCCTGATGCCCCGAACCTCGCCATAATAATAAAGGCATATTATTATTATTATTATTATTATTATTATTATTATTATTATTATTATTATTATGATTATTATTATGATTATTATGGTTATCTCCAGTGGCTAGGAGTCAGAAGCTGACCAGCAGGGAGCTTCACCTGTTACCGCAGTGTCACTCAGGATGTCTGCCGCAGCTTTGGTCAAAAAATTGGGAAGATCAATTTCCTTTCAGCTCAGAAAGCAGAATACACATTTATTAAAGTTAGATTAATTGTGTACAAAATAATTGAAGTTATTTAAATATTAAGCGGTTTAGTGTGATATTTGTTTTTGCTGGTTCAGAATAAGTTTTGGATTTATTGGTTTAAATGAAAATAAACCATGCAGAATGCAAAATGTGTAATTTTTTCAGAGTACCAGCAAGATTTTCTTATGGGCCACCAGTGACTGAACGTTGGTTGCAACCACTGGTCTCCTACGTATAAATGAATTGATATTTTTGCTATATTTATTAATTTCTTTTGTGTTATTTCTTGCAGTTGTTTAAAGACCCTTTGGAGGAAATGACTGAAAAAGGTGATACACTTTTGAATAATACGGAACTAAAGATTATTTTTGGAAATTTACCTCCAATTTATGAGGTGCACAGCAATATGCTGTTAGAATTACGTGAAACAGCTCTTCATTGGAAAGAAGAATCAAGTATAGGAAAAATAATACTCAAATATGTGAGTTTTTTTGTTTGTTTTTTATTTGCTTGTTTTATTTATTTAAATTATGTTTCACTTCAGTGTTTATCCTTCACTTTAACTTAGATTGACAGACTACTTAGATCTTCAAATACCTGGTCACCAGTATGTTAAAATGAATATCAACATAAGTAAATGATTCTAATTTTCTCTTCATTTGTAACTTGTTAGTATAAATTGCCCAAAATGTGGCCAGTAGTGATGTTTTCATCCGTGATAAAATTGAGCGTTAATTCATTTTTTTCTCATAATTTTTCATTGTTTCAAAAATCAGAAAAATGGTTTCTAAATCTTATGATCATTTTGAGAGAAGAAGAAAAAAAAGGTGGTGGGACATCTCTCTATAGGGACAGTTGTGTCTGTTTGAAAGTTCATTTGCAGGTTTTCGTCATCATTTAAGATGAAATTGTTTGTATCTGAAGGGTTATTAATAACAATATTGTTGAAAATTAGGTTCCAGAACTGACAAGGGCATACCCATCATTTGTCAACTTTTTTGAAAATACAAAAGAAATGTTGGTGAAATGTGACCAAACAAAACCTCGTTTTCATGCCTTCTTGAAGATATGCCAGACACGCCCAGAGTGTGGCCGGCAGAGTCTGCAAGAGCTTTTGATAAGGCCTGTGCAGCGTTTGCCTAGTATCAGCTTACTACTTAGTGGTAGGTGCCCATTCATTTATGTCATATTTGCTGTGGTTTAGATATTATGTAATAAAATAAATGTCTAACATGATTTTATGTATAGGAAAATTTAAAAAAATAAAAAATTAACTAATAAGTTAATTTTCCTTGGATGAATTTATTTTCTTATATTTAATGAATGATTTTTCTTAAAACAAAATGTATTTTTAAATTATAGGAGTTTAAAGTTTAATGCACCTTGAGATATATAAAATTATAATAATACAAATAAGAATTTTTTTGGAAAAATATAGATTTTTGTCCAAAAAATGTGAATGTCTGCCAGTGAGGTTCAGTTACCTGTGTCATGAGTGTAATAAATATGTTACTATTACACGAGTTTGACAACGAAGTTTCTTTTGACAGACCCAGTTATTGAAAATTTCAAAAAATAAAAAAATGAATCGCATATTGTATATTTAAAAGTTTATATTTTTCATTAACTAATACTTTGTTCTGTGATTTTTCGAAGCCATGAATTTTTCCTCATCTTCAGGCTACAATGAATATAAGATATTTGTTTTTTAAAATACATAATTAACAGGTTACTGACTAAAATAAATTATACAATTACAATGAAACACTAGCGCATATAAACTAACATGTGGCACTCACCTCTTGAACAACAAAAAAAATAATACAGAAAACTTAATAAATAAATACCTACATCCACTAGTGCAAAGCACTTTTCATGGCAGTTACATTAAGAGGATGGAAAAGACTATGGGCCAAGAATCAGTAAACTGTTATTTAGGTTTTTAAAAAAAATTCTCTTACATTCATTGTAGCCAGAGGATGAAGAAAAATTCATGTCATTGGAACCTTGCACAACAAAGTTTTGTTTAATGAAAACTATATACTTTTACATTACCATGTGTGATTCTGTGTTTTTATTTCTTAAATTTTTTAATAACCGTGTCTGTTAGAATCAGTTCTGGGCCAAACTTGCCTAGTAGTAATAGTGACTAACAATGTTCTGTTTTATGTATTAAATACATTCAATCTAGAGTATTTTAAAAGAGTTTTTTGTGCTTTTACATACATCCCAAAAATCTAAAATATATTTTTCAATCTTAAACATAAATTTTTTGAACAGATATCTTGAAGCATACATCCAAAAGCAATGCTGATCATTCAGCACTGGAACAAGCTTTGGGTGCTGTTCGTGAGGTAATGACTCACATTAATGAGGACAAGAGGCGAACAGAAGGGCAGCTTGTTATTTTTGACATTTTCAATGAGATTGAAAACTGTCCAGTAAGTACATTTTTTAAGACTTGTTTATACCCCTAAGTTAATGCGAAGTCAAGAGTAGAGTTGTTTGTGCTCTGTTGACCCAGAGTTACAAGAAGAGCCAGGTAGCTCTTCTGGGAGTCATTCATTTGCCTCATTCACATGCCTAAAAGGTATTGCTGGTGAATATTTGCTGAATTCATTGCTAATTCACGTGTCAAAAAGGTGTTGATAGTGAATATCTGCTTTAATTCAGTTTCTTGCTCTTAAAATTGCATGTTTTTACTTTCATCTGTTGCACAGTGAGAGAAAAACTTACACTAGACATAATTCCTTTCTTCATTACTAAATTAATATGTCTGTTGATACGTTTTGTCCATCTCTGGTTTAGAAAATCCTTTAATATTATTCTGTAAAACAGGACGTTGACTTGACCGTTGTTTTGATCCTACAGACGTAGTTCCATTTAATTATCTCTCTTTCATTTAGAGAGAGGGAGCCCTATAAACTAGATGTTTTCCTGGAGTAATGTATACTACAAGATTATGTTGTGAGCAAAATTCAACTATTCAAAAGTTTCTCCCTAATCCTAAAAGTTGCATGATGTACTTATAGTTTTCATTCTGAAGTGTTTATTCATTGATGTGGCTACTGTCCTTTGTCCTCATGCTTTGCTCTTGACAAAAAATGTAGATTTTCTCCATCAAGTTAAATACATTTTTAATTAATTTTTTATGCAAATGAGAGAAAACACTACCCCCCAAAAAGTTATGTTTAAAAATTACTATAAAAACTTTTGAACTTATCTGAATGTGAGTTTATGAAATGTACAGTAAAGCAGTGGTAAAAACTTGTTGAAGCATAATGAGATCTTTCCTCTGAAACTCAAGAGATAAGTTAGGATAACTCAGTGCTTTTAAATTTAATGACTGTTTCAGTGTAAAAAATTAATGTTTGTTCCAGCCTTTACTGGTATCATCACATCGAAGCTTCATTGTTAGGTGTGATGTCATTGAGCTAGCTGATGGTCTTAGTGGTCGAGGAGACTCGCTCGTCTTCTTCCTCTTCTCTGATACCATGGAGGTAACTTACAGAAAATTTAATTGTGTATCCATAGTGTCTTATATCATAATAACATATTTTATTTTTATGTTCGAGCAATTCTGTGTTTTAAGCTTTTGGTCTGAATAGAAAATACCCTTTTTAAATAAAGTTTACAGACAAAATTGATTTGTTAATTAAAAACTTTTAATGGTAATAAAATTAAATAGTTTAAATAAATAATAATATCATAAATTATTCAGTACCTCTGCAGGTGATTTGGTTATAGTAGGAAGAACCAGAAAGCTACTGTTGAAATGTTTATTCCGCTAGAAAAAGTGGGACTCTTAAACGAGCAAAAACCAAAGTACATGTACTTTACTAGAAACCTCTAAAACAAATACAAATAAATAACTAATTGCAAAAGATTCAAAACTAATTATTTAGGATCTATCTTAAATGATTAGAGAACTTAATAAAAGGGGAGGATATTATCTGATTTAGTAAAGCTTGAAGAATTAAATGGCTGGGTCATATTCAAAGAATGCAGGTAAACAGAATCCCAAAGGAGATAATGGAATGGGTGAACACGGGTGCAAGAAAGCAAGGCAGACCAAGACCTCAGTGGATGGATGAGAGTGGCAAGATTTAAGGGTGTTGGGTGAAAAGAGTGGAGAAGAACTGTAGAGGGTAGGTAAAGATGGAATGACTTAATTGAGAAAGCCAACACCCACAGAGGGTTGAAGAGCTAATGGAAGAAGATAATAAATTATTATTATTATTATTATTATTATTATTATTATTATTATTATTATTATTATTATATGGTGTATTTTCATGGTTGGTAAGTCTCAGAAAAAATATTTTTCTCTCCAGTTTTCTGTTCCAGTTGAGACAAATTGCTCAAAACCATCCAAAACACCGTCAATACCACCAACTCATGTTTCACCAATCCATTTGTGTACATCTTTAATTTTTTGTCCATCAATACAATTTTGTATATCAATAATTATCTAACAATTTCTATTCAAAAACCATTAAAATATTACATTAAAATATGGTTTAGTTTTCAATTATATTTCAACTGTCTGAAATATCTTACAACAATCCTTAATAAGCAAGCATTGCGAAGATGGCATCATTGAGAACACTAATGTAAAATGTAAAATTCTAAATTCTGTAAAACTTTTGAAACCAGTGAATTAAATTTAATACTTGCTGAACTAATGTGTACTCCCATGTACCTTTATGGGGAATGAGAAGAATAACAAATGATGAAGTTCTACAAACAAGGGTTCCAGAGTGTGAACAATAAGGTATCCCATGTCAGAAAGGAGATCAACGATTTGTTGAATTGTCATCATGGCAGCCCACCCGTCATTGCACAGTTGTCTTCTTTTCAAGGATTACCTGACCCGCAATGGTGTGGCAACGCTTCCACATAAACCTATAGTCGTGACCTTGCTCAGGCAGACTTCTTTTTGGTTCCTCAACGGTAAAGAGTCTTGTAAGGAATGTATTTCAAGACTTTGGAACATCGAAGCAAGTGTAATGAGGGTTCTATAGGACTTCTTCGATGAGGACTTCCTAAGAGCACACGAGGCACGGAAATCACGCTGGAAAAAATGTATTGATGAACAAGGATACTTTGAAGAATTTTAAGTTGCTGTTACAATCTAATGATAACGAATGAAGAAGAAGTAAGAGGAACTAATGAAAAGCTGCATCACTTTGCTGCATTTCTTTTGGGACGTACCTTGTATGTGTCTTATGGACTGTAATCGTGCAGTTGTCTTTTCAGTTATACTTATAAATGAATTTATAAGTATGTATGGAAATATGTATTGGTGATGTCGTCTAACACAAAAATATATCTGACTGGTATGATTTGTGTTTCTAGGTTTATGGATTATGTATGCCAGAAAACAAAAACACAAAAAAGAAAACCTTTTTCCACAAAAACTTTACAACTTCTCCATAGGAAAAAGTGTACAAATCACATCTGATGCCTGTCATTTATTATTTATTTTACAAATAATTAATAATAATATAATAATAGTAATAATAGTAATAGTAATTACAGTAATAATAGTAATAATAATAGTGATCATAATAGTAATAATAATAATAATAATAATGATGATGATGATGATGATGATGATGATATTGATGAATTTTATTTACATGATTTTCAGATTAAAAGCTACATGCTACAAATGATTATCTCTCATTCTGTTTTCAAGTTTTCTGTGGGGGGCTGTGGCCACATTTCAGATTAAGGGTTACATTATTTCACAGTTATTTCAAAGTATAAAATAGGGGCTCACCTTTGATCAGCTTTTTATCTGTAATTTAGTAGCCAATTTTGAAATGATTTTTGTCAATCTTGAATTTGGTTGAGATAGTCGGTATTCAAATTTCTTGAATCCAGTTGTTCGTGGTGTCCTCATCAAACATTTTGCTTTTTCTATATTCTGATTTTGAATGATAGATCATGTAAATAATTTTGTTCCAGGTGTGTAAGAAACGTTCAAAAGCGTTTAAAAGCCCAAATGTTACTGGCAGCTTGCACTCTATGAAAATGACAAAACCATACAAACATATCTGTTTGTTACCCTTATCAACAATCAAGAGAGTCATTGACATCCAAGAAACAAATGGTTAGAATCATATTTGCTAGTATTGATTTTTATGAGTACAGTAGAATGTCAATAATTTGGCCACCAATAATTGTGAAACTTGAAGTAAATGCTGTATTTGTGTACACATTTGTTTACATTGTTTATTGTATAGTAAGCCTAGATTTAATATAAAACATATATGTTGATATGTTGAAAAAAAATTTCATGCATTACATTTTTTCCCTTAATTAAAAACAAAAAGTTTCTACATTATGGTTTTATTCATCCAGACCATGTTTTTTATCACCAAAGTTAGTAGTGAACAATTTTATCAATTTTTTATTTTGAAGATATCTACTGACCTTTGTATTGGTTCATTTCATAATTAGATAATTTAATTATTATTGATATAACAATATGATTGAATGGGTCCAATTCTGGATCTGATAATCTGGATTATCGACATTCGAATGTATTTTTTATATATATTTTTATTTGTTCCGCTTTTATCACTTTCTGCTATTTTTGGTATCAATAGACAAGAGAACATCTATTGTAGATAATGCATGATATGTCACCCTTAAAAATAAATTGTGTTTGATTGATCTTTTGTCTGTGAATGATTAATTTTTGCCTTCAGATTGTCGGAATGCATTTTGTCTGCGGTGTCGCAACAATCAAGAATTCAGTGAAAGACAATATTCCTTTGCAATGGCGGATGAAGAAGCTGACAAAATGTCCTTTCTTAGAACATTGTGTCGGCAAATTGCTAACACTGTATGCAGAACAGACACTGTAAGTGTATTTGTTCAAATACAATGTGAATTTCCTAATTGAAGTCATAGATTACAAATTATTTCATCTGTGTTGTAGGAGTCATTCTTTAGCACTCAAGATTCTAGTGCCCTGGATTTAGATACAAGTGATGTTGTATATGGATCCCTCAGTAAAGCATTCAAGTAAGTAATTAAATTTTCTTTCTTTACTTTGTATTTATAATATATTTATTTTATTGTTTCCTATTTTTAATATTAGAACTATATTTCATTCATATTGAAAGTTAAGAATAACTCTCAAACATTTTATTATATTGTGTAGTTAAATTCTGTTTATTGTAATTTTTTAACCCCTTGTTGACCAATACATTTACTGCATTGGGTAAGTAATGTGCAAATGTTTTGTTCACAAATTTCAGGAGAACTAAACAGAAAGTAGGTCGAGCATTCAGTTTCAACAAGACTCCAAGTAAACTTAAAAGAGCTGTTTCAACAATGATGAGCCCGTTTGGTAGTACATCAAATCTCACTCCTGCATCTCAGTTAGCACAAATGAGACTTGCCTCTTGCAACAATCTCAATGTGAGTAGTAGTTTATTTGTTTATTTCCTGGTAACATTGTCCCATTTAAAGTCCAAAGTCAGTGAACTTGGAAACATTGAAATTCGGGGTGAAAACAAATTTGATATGAAAATCTAAATTTTTAAAGTTTGTAGTTTTATTGTGAACTAGATTGAGATTTGTTGAATTAAGTGAAGTGCATGTTTTAATTTAGCGCATGTTTTAATTTAAAACGTGCACTTTATTGAATTTAAAATATGCAATCTACTGATCATGTTGAAAACAAGAAATGCAAGTAAAATAAATGCCATATTTACCTGATTTTGAAGAGGACTCCTGGGAACTTTTTAATAAATCTTATTGTTTAGTCAAAATAAAATCGCCAGAGAATGGTCTGCTTAATCATAATGGTAAAACTAATCATTATAATCATGGTTTTTGTCGCTACCCACTTCAATTTCATGTGCCAATGATTCTTTCGTTTTGGACCTGCTCCCATAATGCATCACCCTCTCACTGTTTAGGCCCCTGTTAAAGATTTACAGGTTCAGTTTGTCTTTCATTTGACATCGCCTATGAACGTTGTGTTGTGTCACCAGATTTTGGTTCTGACTCACTCTTGTTCATGGCCTCTGATTTTTTTACAGTTTGTTCACTCTCTTTATCAGAATAAACTTGAAATTCACATTATTTTATATTGTTTGTGAGATCGAGTTGTGAACTGAGAACTTGTAAGTTCCATTTCTCAGGTAATGTAGGAGATAGGAAAGTTTAAGTTGGAAATTTTAGGCAAAGATATATTATTTATTATTTGGTGGTTGAGTTTAGAATGCGTTCTTCTATCAGTGAGGATTTTTTCATTTCCATCTCTTGCAAAACACAGATTTACACATGTTGGGCATCGAACTGTGAGTCCAAAGTCCAGTGTAAGTATAAATTAATTAAAGTTTCCTGACCCTTTTAATAATTTTTATTTATTGTTGATATTGCAGTGTTAAAAATATCAAGTGTACAGATTCTGCTACAGGAAATGTTTGCTACAGGAAAATTTTTCTGTAGTTATAAACTGTTTATAGATTTTCTTCCTCAATGTAGTGTTGTTTTTCTTTCATCCACAGGAATTGGGGACATCTCCTGTTAAATCTGAAACATCCTATGTAGCTCCTATGTCAGTACAACCAACCCGCAAAAACAAAGCACCACCACTGAATGTTTCTTCCTTACGAAGATTATAACACAGGCTATAAGGAGGACTGGTGTATGAAGGGTGATGATGTAAGGTGGTTCCTTCCAAGTTACCAGGCCTCTCCAATTTCAGGTGAGTAGCAATAAATTATGAAATAGTAAGTCTCACACGTGGTATTTCTTGGAAAGGAATGGAATGTACCGATTGAAGGCAAAAATTAAAGACAGATGGAGCAACTGTGAGTTTGTTAGATAACTCCAAAGTTACTCACTTATAAAATGCCCTAAGTGGTTCCTAGCCATTGGTCATGATAGAAAGTGTTGAAGTCACTACTAGCATCAGCAGGAATATGAATACAAGTACTGGTATTGAAGGGAAGTTCTCAAGTTTGTGATTGATGTAAGCTGGTCACAAACACCAGGTGTGTGTTTGCTTATTTAAAATAGTAACAAGGCTGTGAAAAAATTTTCCAATATTGTGGCAGAAAGTATCAGATCCATTATGATCAAAGCTCCTTCCTTTAAATGAGAATAGCAAAACAAGTGAGCCCAGAATGAATGACAGTGGTTGTAGAAATTCATAGGTCAGTCTACCCAAACTCCTCTTTTAAGCCCTAGAAGAATATTTTATCTACAAGGCTCCTACTCTTATCAGGTTTTGTCTGACTAGAGCTCAGAAGTTTGGCAAAATGTCTTTTTTTATTGTTACTATTTTATACTTTTACATTAGGAATCTCTTAATTGTTCTTCTGGAGTTCTTTCAGTCAATTTTTATTTTGTCTATTTTAGTTTCAGATAACTATTTTTGCCTCTTTCTGCCTTTTGCATCATTATTTTACTTTTCAAAAGCCTTTCTGCCTGCCTATTTAATGTAAAATAAATGCCTGAACTTCTGTACTCTGCTGATGACAACCTGAATCAATAATTGTCGCAATGACTGTGTTCATTGAAACTGAGTGTGCTTTTCAGTTGGGTGATTAGTTTATGTTCCAAATGAATGAAATAAATTCTCATTAATTCTAATACTGTATTGAGACTTTATGTGGTAAATTCTGAATTTAATTTAGGTAATATATAGCATAGCTTGCTAGTATGCATTTATTATTGCCAGTTGAGATTTTTGTGTATATTGGTTTACTGCACTATGAATTCCCCTTCCCCCCTACACACACTCTCACACACTCACGTTAAATTAAGTTTAATATCCACTGTGTCTAGAAATCACTGTGACCAATGTATCTAAAATTCTATGTTAAATTTCACGAAGAATGGAAGTCGTTTTTCTGAAAAAGAAATTGACTTTGACAAAATTGAGTTTTCATGTCGCATTCACGCTTGCAATTCAAACAAACTTCCATGCCATTGCCGACACTGCAAGGTCTACTGGGCATTGCCTTGTTTCTTTGTGTCACCAATGAATTTTCGATCATTTGTCTATTAAAAAGAGGGTTTTTTTTTCTCCACACAATGTCAGGATCCGAGATTCTGTGTGCGAACCTGAAATAATGAAACAAAACTTTATAAGATTAAAGTAAAGTAACATGACTTTTTTATACAAGAAAAATAATATGTTAGTAACAAACCAGAATACGGAATAGAAGAAAGTAATGCTGTCATAACTATTGAATATTAGTTAACATAATTTTATGAAGATCAAGTATGCCTTAATTTCATCATTTTCACATCCAATCAGCTAGGATCTCAATAGTTTCCTAAATTATAGTACTGGTAAAAAACTTTTTCAAATCAGAACTTAAAAGCCCTTCTAGTAACATATCTACGACTAGATTTTGTTAGTTGCTTATTAATTTGCAAAGGATGTAAAATAGCATATATCTTGTAGAGCAAAAGCTCTCTGTATTCACTTTGGGAAAGTTAAACATTAAAGCCTTATCAATGTACTTCTTGATTGATATAATGATGTTTTCTTTGAATAAAACATTCGTCAAATACAGACTATATCAAATAAAATACATACATCAAATAAAGAGTATGAGGGTGTAGGCTTCTCCTAAGGTAATAATACCATGGGTAGCTGTAGACCAAAGCACTTCATGTCATGGTACATAACTAGAAGTTGTTTAGAATTTAATATTATTCTTAGTACATACAAACATAAATAAGGTGTCAAATTCTCTTTACAGTATTATCTATATATGCCAACCATTTCAAATGATCATCTATATGACACCTGTATAATTTGTGTTCATTACTGTAGATATATCTAGATGATTGCAATTTAAGTAATTGATATGAATCTTGATATGATGAGACTTTGATAGGAATCTTGATTTTACAATTTACCAAAATACTATCAATATATCTACCATGTAAAGTAAATACAGTTTTCTCAATATTTCAACTTACAAATTCCAATACAGCCTATCAAGGATAAGAGTTATACCTTGTTTCGCTTTAATATGAAATTCCAGCTTTAACTAACAAGCATTGTCAGCAAAAGAAACAAGCCCCCCCCCCCCTATCATCGTGAACATGATGGCAAGAACTCTGCTTTTGAAACTGAAAGTCAGACCCTAAGAAATCAGATAGGATTGGATATACTATATGCTACCTCCTTCCCCTCCTACTTTCTTAAGTTTGTGCAACGGTCACTAAAGTAACCTTATTAAAAATAACTAAACTAGGAAACTAATGATTTTTAATTTTGCAGGACTGTGGTCCAAAGGGATTGACCCTTCAGTCTCCAAGAACAAACAACTTCTCGTCTTCCAATTCAGATCACTGGTTTGTGGTTGTGCTGAATTTTAGAACAGTTGTGCCTTGTGTGAAGTATTTTGTTGTGCAAGCAAACAAACATTTTTCTAAAAAATTGAGTGAATATATTTGATAAAACAGGTTTCTCAAACTTTTTTCTGTGAGGTCTGGTTAAAAATTATAGTATTTCCTAAATCAGTGATAATACATTTATTAAAAATTATACTTTTATTGAAATGTACATATGTTTATTATTGAAATTATTTAAAACCTAATGAGAGAGTATTGAATAAAGAAATGTTATTTACTTTTTTTAAAGTAGAAGTTGAGAAGCAAGAGTATCCTTTTCTTTTGATGTTTGGAATGCTTTTTGCGAGAATTTGTACCAGAATGCAGAACACAGTATGAGGAACTTTGTGATAGTTGATACTCATTCTTGTACATAGTGTTGATAGAGGAAATAATATTATATAATTTTATTAATGAAATATATTTTTAAAAATTTATCTTTAATTTTATTGGCTAATGGTCTATCCAAAAGTAGACATTTAGTGTCAAAACACTGGCATTACTGTAGAAAATCTTGAGCATGCTCCCCAAACTTTTATTCTATGTTTTGTTAAAAAGAAGTGTCCTTATTTTGTGAAAGAAATCATCTGCCTTGTTTGATGGGGAGATGGCATTTCTAGATTTCTGGAAATAATCAGAATCTACAGCTGAATTTGGTGTAGATGAATTTGCAGGATATTTTTGGAGATAAATTTTCCAAAAAAATGTATTCAAGGATGAATTTTACTTTGTCTTGTCATAATTGTGAAGTGACTCAACTAAAGTGTCACATCATATTTCTGAAAAGTATTGCATACAGCCATCTATTTTTATGCTGTACTAATTTTGCTTACCTACCAAGTTTAGATTAATAGCCTCTGAAGTTGTTTGAAGGAGAAATTAATAATCCTTGGCTCTTCTATGAAATCGATATCATAACAATTTAAGTGGCTGGTCCCTTAAATTGTGGAGATATCCTGGGGCAATGGTGGTTCACGAGTTGACTGTTTTTTACCGAAATAATTGCGGACTGTTTGCAAATAAATAAGCTAAACAGCTTGTAAAATATTTGGTATTTATATTTAATAATTGATATTTAAACATGTGACTATCCTTCCATGTATCAGGAATGAATATTCTAAAAGAATATCCAACTTCTTCTTGCATTATCTAGAGACAATTATAACCTTTATCATCATGATCATCATTGTCGGTTAAGTCTATTGGCCTGTTCCGTCTTCAAGAGTATCCTTCCATTGCTTTATTGGTCTGCCTCTACTCCTCCTGATCAGGTTGCAGGTCTAGAGAATTTTTGGCATTCGATCTTCCGGCATTCCCATGAAATGTTCATGCCAATTCTTTTTTAGTATGTCTATATTTTCAGTTAGGTTCAAGATCTTTGATGTTCAAGTTTCTTTTACAGTCCAATATAGAATAGCCTGCTAAAGATCTACAAAATCTCATTTCCGCAGCTTCTATTTTTCTTTTATCTGCTCTATTGAGGACCCAATTTTCACATCCATAGGTTATCATTGGTACTGCCATTGTTTTATAACATTTCAGTTGTGTGTCTCTATGTGCTTTCTGTCCGAGTCTTTTGTATACTTTAGCCCATTTTCTGAAAATTTTGAATTTTTATATAAAGCGGACATCCCTGTTTGACAGCTTGATTTACAACTTCAATCCATTATTTCCTGTCCATACATATTTTAGTTTCTGAGTATTTGCTTCAGATTATACTTGTCATGTGAATTGGGTATCTGTTTAATTTCATTACAGGCCATAATAGGCTCCTGGAGACTCTATCAAAAGGTTTTTTCAAAGTCTAAGCAGATTGTATCATTCGACCATTAATCTTCTAAAAGTTAATAAACAGGGCTCTCTTTTGATGTAAAAGTGTTTTAAAAATATCCTACACAAGGACTGAAAAAATTCCTTTTTTCTTGAAACTTTAGGATCTGCTGGAATTAGTGCATTACCAATGCCTATCATTAATTTTAAAACATGCACGTTATTGAAATGCTGTGTCTGTTTGTATGGTATTACATTTTTCTATGGTTGCATATCCAGATGCACATCAATATGCATTTGAGGAATTGCTTATTGCTGTGTTTCTACAAGTGTTGAAAAACATTAATGTTCCAATGTTACCTATTCATAACCATATTTTGTAATAAAGTTTTCAAAATATACCTTAATGTTATGATTGTAAATGTAAGATTAAATTGTATTTGAATATTCCTTTCAAAAAACAAATGTTCTCTACCAATATAAATTCTATGAAGTTTGTTGCATTTTCAAGTATATTTTTCTTCTATTTATTCTTATTTTAAGTCCTTTCATCATTTCTGGATATGTTGTTGTGTATCTAGTAACTCAGTATCATGTGTTGGTCAGTAAAGAAATTCCCAACCTGTTAATTCTATTGAAAATTCAAGGTTTGCATATGCAATGCTCAAAATTCCTGAGCCTCCACTGTTTCTGGATAGCAAGTTGAATAGATCCTACGGGTTGCATGGGGCAATAGTTACGAAACGGCTTTATTTCCTAGTTAACCAAGATATTCTTTTTTCCATCTTCTAACTATTCTAGCCATTCCATCTTGTAACTATTGCCAGATGGTATCCAGCAGTGAATATTTGACTCTCAATTCATGAAAATGCTTGCATTACTAATGAATTTTGAGAACATGTAGTATGCATGTTTCAAATTATTCTTTGTCTTCCATAGATTCTAACTTTTATTTATACGACATAAATGAGAATCTGTTTATGAGTCTTGGAAGAAACAATATTTAAATTCGTACAGAAAGTTAACAAAAATTCTTCAGATAAACAACAAAAATCACACAATTGTATTTGCCTCATTAAATGAACACCTGTTTATCTCAATTTGCTCAGAAACACTTTTGTCACATATTCTATAACATCCAGAAGATAGTGCTTAAAGTGCACGTTACCAAGACTTGATGCCCTAAGGATTTTTCCATGCATTGCTGGAGTTATGTTTGGATTTAACAACGAAAAATAAAATGTTTGAGTTGTGGGAAATGGGGTATTATATTATGACAGTCCTGTACAGCAAATGGCTCTACAATTGCAGCCAACCTCATCAACCACTTTCCAAACCAGAAGAATTTCTGTGTAGCACTTAGTCTTGGTAATGTGCCAAAGCTGCAACAAAATTGGAAAATAAAAAACACTTTCTACATGAATCTGTGTTACTCAAGACAGAATGGAAAAATAACTATTTATTACTAATATTATGAGGAACAGACTGCTGTGTGTGTGCTTTTTTGTTTTTTCAACTGAAATGGTCCATTCTATATAGTATTTTGTGAGATGCATTTAGAGGTACCCTGGATGGTACCGGAATGTGCTATTGGTAGAGAGCATAATGCATTCACCCCAAAATGACAAGCCCTACTAGGAGGCTTGTCATTTTGGGATGTATCTACAACTCCCCAGGTCTACCGGAGAGTAGTGTGTGGGGTTACACTCAGGGTGGGTGGTGTACATTTAGAGTACTGAGCTCTTTTAAATGTAACACCTGAAAAATCCATCAAATTCTTCATCTCTTATGAACACCTTCAGAGGCTGTTGGTTTCTTGTATGAAAAATGACATTTTTGTACCATGTCAAACAGCAATATAGCTTTGATGAAAGGTGATTAGTCATTTACTGCAGATACTCTTTAAAAATGTATCTCACCATGTTAACTACTGTATTTATTACTAATTGCACATGATCTTTCTTTTTTTGTATGCTATTCTGTTTATACTGAGTTTTTTTGTATTTCCCAGACATCTGATTTGTCATGTATTGAAATTAATCTGCCTAGTTGGCGTAAAACTGTGAAAAAAGTTTATTGATGAAAAATTATTTCCATTACAAATTTCACTGAAATAAAATTTCTAAGAGCAATCATATAATTGTTTTGTTTTTATTCTGAGAGTTTTGTGGTGTAAAGCAGAGCATCTATGTAAATTCAATGTTATTAAAAATGCGGACTGAAGTGAGTATCTTCAGAAGACATAAAACAGGCAATACTCATAAAATGGCAACAGTTAAGATAGGTTTTTGAATGAATCATTCATATTTATAAACAGTATTGTATTTCAGTAAATAAAAGACTGTATTTCTTCATTTGTGCTGTTTTAATGAATTTATCTGCCGATCCTGTGGCCGAGATCGCAAAGGCAGTAGTGCCGTAGCGATCTCGGACCGAAGGATCGCAGGTTCGAGTCCCGCCTCGGGCATGGTTGTGTTGTGTTCGTCCTTTCACCCCCTAGATTCATAACATCATCCTCCATCTCTCATTATCACCTTTCTGAATAACATTCAGAATTGTAACTCGAGGATTTATCCTCACCTCAAGGTGACACACCTTCGACAGTCGACCATGAACAGTAAGTGAAGTGGAACGACTCAAGTGGTCCAATGTGGCCAATCAAGTTTAAAAAAAAAAGAGAGAGAGAGAGAGAATTTATCTTCATTATCAAAGTCCATTTGTTATTTAGCTCTTATTTAAATTTTTTTGTACATTACTAATTCCCAATGCTCATAGAAATTGAAAGTAAACTATGCAGCCTTCAGCTTTGAAATGTATCTGTGGTTGCATAGATAGTGGTTGTTAGATATCCAAAAAATAAAAATATTTCTCATTTCTATTGTGGGCAGAAAACTAATGAAAACTTTGCACCCTCTTGCTTTGCGAGAGATATTTATGATGACACAAAGGGACTTGGGAAAACACTGAAAACAATGATACAATTTTTAATTTCAATGAAAAATGGAAATATTTGATAGTGTTACTCCATCTATTTTCATACTACACATACCAATAATTCTCACATTCAGTGAATCACTGCTTGTAAAACTGCTGAAATCAAGTGACAGCAAGCCTCCAAGGAAAAGGCCATCTGCCATTTAATGTTTGCTGTTTATGTGTTGTGTTATGAACAGCATCTTTTTTTCATATACTTTACCTGCAATGAATTGTACTCTGTAAATAGTATACGGTTTTTGCAGTATTCCTGAAGACTTTTTGGTAAAATATTTCATTTACACTACTGTTCTGTAAATAAAGCCTCCTTACTCTATCACTTTCCCATCCATATCATCATCCAACAATGAAATTCTCGGAATAACTTGCGAAAGATTGTTTTAAATAACAGATGATAAGTATCTACTATTTACAAACTAATTAAATAACTCATCCTAAATATCAGATTTGTTATGGTAATATAGCTCCCAAAAGATTCTAAAAAATAAGAGCAAGAAATTTTTCCATTTCAAAAGCCAAAAATACGCTAAACTACTCGTTAAAAAAAATTGAATATAACCTTTTTTAAGAATGATTTCTTAAAACATCAGTTACCAAGAATCTCTGTCATTAATTTTGTTCTTTTCCAACGTTAATTGTTTGACTTACAGTTTTCGAAATTTCAGGGCCAACGAAATTGCGAAGAGCACCACTTCCTTTACCAGTACGCTTATAGGGTATAATATACGTAGTAGGTGAAAATAATGTTGTGGTGCGAAAAAATTGATTTTGAAATTTTGACAGAAATTTTTTCCGCAGGTTTAGATTTTTGCAGTGCGCATAAATCTTTGGATAAGTATGTCCCGTTTGTCGCACTTGTCCTTTTTGTTCCATTTCGTCAATTTTATTCCCCATGTCCCATTTGTCCCCCTTTCCTGTTTGCCCCCTTGGCTAATTTTGTCCCTTCGTTCCTTTTTTCGCGCAGCATTACATAACTTTCTCTTCTTAAGAAGTTCCTTCTTAAGCTCGAGAAAGTAACAAAAAGCATTGTGTGTAACATGACCTCTATTAGTCTTCAAATATGTGACTGTGACTACTGGTCGCGCGAGTTTTCTTGATACACGGGCTCCCTAACTCATGCCCAGCGCTGAATAGCACGGCCCGTTGAAATTCTTAGGTCCGACTCGGAACGGCACGTTTCAATTTACAGTGCTACCATCTCCCACAACGTACATTCAAAACAGTCGAAGTTATTTTCGTGCAAGTGTGTTAATTAGTGGTTTGCTAATATATTGTTCCCATACTTTACAACGTTTTTGGTTTGGTTTAACGATTACTGTTTACTGTTATTTGATTGAATAGTTTATTGTTTCTTCCTTTTATACGACTTTGACTTATTTATCTGGTAGAAATCTTTATTTGGACATTTGATCACTGTCATCTTCACAACTTTACGTGAAGATAAACTATGGCAGACGCAGTCCCAGGGCCCTCTCGGGAAACTCCGATAACGCCACCATCTCGCCGTATCCACACTCTTCATAGTGTGGAGAGGAAAATTATTGCTAACGTGGTAGACTGTTGTCAAAGAGAGATAGAGAACAAGTCGCTCCTTGCCCCTCTTAACCAAGCCTTGAAGAGGGCGACCATTTACATGGATGCAAGCATTGCATCGGTGAATAGAAGAAGAAAAAAAAAGGTTTTGCACCCTGATCAGTCACCTGAAACTCCAGGCAAAAAGAGGTACTACTGTCGTTTTTATTAAATGAAATACATGACACTTACTATTTGGAAGTATTTATTGTTTTATTGTTTCGCGAATGGTAAGTGCATGAATATTTTTTTTATTTGTTGCCAGAACAAGAACACGCGGGAATATCCTGTTGGACGATTTCGATAAGAGAGTAATCAGGGACACTATTCATGATTTTTACACTGTTCAGAAGGTCGTTCCTACAATAACAAAACTACTACCAGTGCTGAAACAAAAAATCAATTGGAATTGGAGCCCTTCATCACTTTGAACCATTTTGAAATCTATGGAATTCGTTTGGAAGGAAGGTCAGAACAAACAAAAATTACTGTTAGGACGAGGTGATATTGTAGATTGGAGCTCTCGATACCTGGTGAGTATGAAACATTTTAGAGAGGAAGGAAGGGATATTTTTTTATTTAGATGAATCTTGGATAGACAATAATATGACCACAGGAAAGTGCTGGCAAAAGGAGAATGATATTTTAGGAGTGACTTCGTGGGGCAGATCTGCAAAACGACTCATTATTGTTAGTGCAGGTTCTCGAAGTGATTTTATTGCAGATGCTAACCTAATAATGGAAGCGAACACGTCACAAGGGGATTACCATGGACAAATGAACTCCATCAATTTTGAAAAATGATTCAATATGCAATTACTTCCAAATATACTCGGATCATCTATTACTGCGCCTTGCAGTTAATCTTCCGGCCTCGTCCTTAAAGACTTATTTAGGGGACTTATTACATAAAAAACTATTTGATCAATTTCAATTTTGAAAAACTTCTCTCACAGCTGACGTTGGCTGTGGCAATTGTGAAAAATATTCGGAGCATTATTATATTGGACAGAATAGATTACCATATTGTTTACATTTTCAAGAAAAAATACATATATTATGATTAAATAAATGATTTCCATTACATATTTCCCAGTGTTTTTAATATTTCGAATGCCGAAAAATAGGCGCTTCTCACGAAACAACGATTCGTGGGTCCGCGGTGGGATAAAATTCGTTTTCTAGCATTGCTTGTAATCTAAGGAAGAGCAGTCGGCAAACTGAAAAAATTAGGCCATTGTCCATGTAAAACGATGTTCTTCAAAAGAAGAAATTTGTCACCGCTGCGAAACGTACAGATTCAAAAAAGTCTCCGAGTGACTAACATTTCTGTGATCCGGCAGTTCTGGCGTGAACACAAACCAAAAACTGCATGTTTACAATAATTTTTGAAAAAGTCAGAAAGTGAAAATATAAGAATGACGATGAGTAAAACTCTTTATTATATTATATTATATTTCGTAAGTATGTTTTTCCATTATAATGTAAGCTATATTGTAACTAAGGCATGATATGTTTTTGATGCCGAGTGTACACTGAGAAAAAAGTGAACCTGTTTTCTCCACTGAATATTATTTTCTGTTAAATTCAATATCATTACAGTAATTTCACATTTCTGTTATTATAAAAGCGAATATGTTGTTTTAATCATGTCGGCACCATTATCAAAAAAGTTTCATTATTTTTTTGGACAACATATCAATTTTCATTTTAAATGTATAATAAACACTCGAATAAATGCACAGAACTATTGCAGCTATTTTCAAAGTGTATGTGATGTAACCCTAGATTACTAGGCGGCCTGTACCGTGTTATTACAAAGGCATAGTCTGACGGACTATTGTGGGTAAAAATATAGAAAAACTCATTTTTTTTACAAAGAAACACTAAATTTAATGGATTGAACATATATGAAATAGAGTTGCAAAATATATTTTAATGCATTTATGGATACAATCAAATAACTTGACTTTCACAGAACACACTTGCTTGGTGCTGTACAGTTATGACCATATATACTATCTGGTCATGGCTTTTGAGAACTGTCCGCAGTAGTACCTCGTCATGAAACCTTTGTTATGATAGCCGTCGTCTCATTATGATTGCTAAATGTTCAGATCAAAACTTAAATACTACAAGACAATGTATTCAATATTTATTTTCGTATTCATTACTCTCAATATTAGACAATATAGCGCAAAAAAACTGACGTAGTTTCAAAGGCGTTATCTACTGGACGACGCATGTTGGCGTGCACAGGAAAATGTGCGTGAGCACTAGGTTACGTTTATTTCACTGGCTAGTCACGTAATGAAGAAACCTAGCATTATAAAAACATTATATCCAGCATTATAAAAGAACCTTTTCTGTTGAAAGAAATGATTCATCGGACATTTTACGGCACAAATGATGTCGTATTTGATTTTATATCACGATTGATTGCGTCATCACCCATTCAACCAATCGTAGCGAGAGAATCGGGGGGAGGTAGAGCTAAACGTATAATATATAACAGCCGACAACCGTTTACTCGCACGATGTCAAATACTCAAGTCGTTATAGGGTAGTTGTTTCGCAAAATTAAGTTTGATTCTCTTATAAGTGAATAATGCTGTTATACAAAAAAATATAGTGTAGTATTAAAAAAAAAAGTGTTTGAATTTGGCGCTGAGAAAATTTCAAAAAATATTTTTCTGATAGTATTTTTTTGTTATCTTTCGTATTGTTTTCAATCAGATAAAATAGTATTAAGTTGACAAAAAATAAAATAAATAAAAAACAAACGTTTCTGACAGTACAGGTGTGAGGGGTGCCTGATCGGTAGGTGGGAGGTCGGGGGCTGAGAACTCTTTCAAAAATAATATGTTTATGTTAGAATTATGATGCAACTACTCATATGCCATTTGGTTTAGTGGAAGTTCTTTTTCCATCTTTTCAGAGGGACCCTTGTCCCCTCCTCTCCAATAAAATATTGAAATCTTGCTTCTTGTATTTAGTATTGTCCGAATCTAGTAATATGGCCATCGTTAGATAAGCAAACGTATCCTCAAAATGTTGCAGCTGCTGAAAACGCTCACGAATTTCTTCAGATATTATTTCTAACGAAAAAATCACTTTTCTTCTCAACTCAGTTTCTCAAATGAGTAAAGATGGAAGCTGTTTTCTTCTTCAGAATATCTGCAGAAAGCGTCTAGAATGTCTTTCTACGGCATCTCTTGTACTTCACCGCGTATCTTGAGAGCTTTTTAAACTTTTGCCTGGGTTGCTATTAGAACTCCTCAACAATATGCGGAAATACAAAAAATGAATAGCAAAGTTCCAATGTGCCAAAGAATGTTACCGAATTCGCCTCAACTGAGGCAACGTGTGAACAAACCAGGTTTAACGAATGATTTAAGCTAGTTACGAATTCAACTTTGGGATTTATTACTTTAATTCTTTGCTGAAGTCCTGAATGCGTTCGTGTACCGATGCAAATAGGTTTTCTAAAACTCAGAAACGAAAATTACTATTTTTCAAATATTGCTAATCTTACGATTTTTAAAATTTATTTATTTATGTTAAACTTTTACTCACCTTTCAACTATTTATAGTTAAAATGACGGAAAGGGATTCTGGAACTCAAGAAATGAACGCAGATAATCTTTTTCCCCCTTCGTCACATACAGATTTTACTGTTCTTTAGATTGAATAAATCTAAATCTTTCCAGCCATAACATCATCCTTACCAAATGCCTGACCTCCACAATTGCTTATATCGAGGCCATCTTCAAGCTTTCCCAAAATCATCTTCGAAATTCCTTCAGAAATTTAATCTTTTGTTTCAATGAAGGCTGCAAAAGATCCCAATACTTGTACTCCACTACTTAATCACTACCTTTCTTAATACTTGGTTTGTTTGGTTTTTATGAGAAACGTCTGGAGTGCTATCGAATATAATCGATAATACTACTTGGTCTTTTTTTATTTGTCCGATGATATGTTGGCGAATTTTATTTTCCAAAATTGCTGTAAATTCGATTTCTGATGACATACAGTCCCTGGCCATATTAGACGCACCCTAAATTTTCAATAAAATTCACTTTTTTGAGACGAAAAATGTATTTTTTTTATTTCTAACGAAATACATAAGTAATAATTGAATACTTACGAATCAGAAACAAGATATCATATGCAAAATTATGACTGTCAGTATAATATATAAATAATTTTTCATAAAAATCTCCATGCACATGTATTCTTTTAAATTATTCGTCAGGCTACCTTTGGCGGCTATTAGAGCTTTCATTCTTTTTGGTATGATATTAATGCACGCCTGGAAGTTTCTTGCAACTCTGGATGATGGTACCAGACCTTCAATTATTTTCAAGGTTGGCGAATTTTTGTTGTTATTTTCTTAATTTGCGATTTTCCCTCTTATGAGCTCCAAAAATTTTTCTATTGGGTTTCATATCTGGTGAATTTCCTGACCATGGTAACACAGGAACATTTTCTCAACAAAAATGATATGAACTGTTCGAGCAGTATGACTTGGAGCCCCATCTCGCATAAAACAAATGATTCTTCATTTGAGAACCATTCCTGTAGTTGAGCAGCAGTCGTTTTCCAATACTTGTTTTGTAACTGGTTCTTGTTTCAATGATGCCATAACAAGTACAGACCCCGTCTTTGCCACTGATCACTGAGCAAATCATTGCTTGATGGATGTTTCACAATCCGGATTGAACAATTGAATGATACTTTTCACGCAGGGCGCTTCTCACAATGTGCTTGTTTGCTAGAATTTCGAAAGTGATTCGTCGCTAAAACAAGCTTAAATACAAGTAAATGCAGCATTAGAATTAATTTTGGTTAGCAATTTATATACTTATGAAAAAGCACTAGACTAAATTTTTACCGATTTCCAGAAGTCCAAATCTTTATTCTTAAGGTTCTTACCCATGCAAGACGTTTTTTCTTTCATATCAGCTGTTATCTGGGTTTGTGGGCTGGTCTACAACTTAAAAAAATCATTTGTAGTAGTGTACACCTTAACTGTCCTTTCAGATACACAGATTCACTACTTTCCAATTTAAATTTAATTTGTGTTAGTAGTAGCAACCTGTTTTATGCAATTCTTCCTCAAACATCTCTCAGATCTGGTGAAAATATTATCTTCGTCACATGTGTTCTTCTTCGTGGGGATAATTCTTCATCAAGGGACAATTTTTTTTTTCTTAATTCGCCGAATAAAATGTCTCGGATACGTTCAACCTTCGAGATAACTCACGATTTGAATAATTTTCTTAGTCGACAAAAGCTTTCACTGCTGCGATCTTCCGATGAGACAATCACTTACCTTTCCATTATTTTTATTCAAAACTATCAGTTTTTCGTATACAACAATTCACAATTTTTTAAATAAACACGGCTATACCTATTTCACAAACTAATAAATGGAAATAAAACCATCTCATGCAACAAAACTACTCATGTCATCAACTGTCAACCTTGTCAATTCAACCATGTCAACTCAATCATGTCAAGCCTTGTTCTACTCAATCTTGTAATTTGTGCGTCTAAGCAACATGAGGGTGTCTACAACAATGGTACATAATGACAAATAATGTGTTAATTATTAGAAAAAGAAGCTTTGCTTTTATTGATGTGATTCCGCAACAACGCCAGATTGTAATGTACTGCATGAGAGATTCAAAACTTAATATTTTGTTAAAAATTTGGAGTGCGTCTAATAATTTGGCCAGGGACTGTATATGTGATTGAAATTTTGACACACATTTTCGGTCTTACAAGATGTTCCAAAGTATAGGATCGATTGCAAATTACACGCACCAAGTCTAAAAAGTTTACTCTATTAATATGGGTGACGTTTGCTGTATGGCCACGTACAGTCAAATTTTGTTTAGAGAGGAATTTTATAATATCAAACATTCTGATAAGAAATGCCACGAAATTTTGTTCTATATTGTCAATAGTTTGACCTTTTTAAGTCTGGTCTCCAACATCTTCCATTTACCATTATTTGATTGTGTGACTTGAATCGGGTCTTGAAACCTTAATATTTAATTTCCACCAAGTATTAAAACCATCAGGTGAGCAAAACTTTTGCCCATTCGGTGTTTACGTTCTCAAATAAACGACAGCAAAAGCAAAATAATGATGCTTTGGAAGGAGAATAAGCCATCCAAAACTGCTTAAAACATTTTCGCCGTTAGTTAATGTGTGGTAAAACCATTGCTGGGTAAGCCGTCTTGTATCTCCTTTCGAAGTTAAAGAATACTAATCTGAACGTTTTATTGTTGACGCTACGTTAAAGTTAGTACGACTATTGATATGTTTAACGACTGCCTGGCCTTGCTGAAGATATGAAAACGAATATTAGATTTGAACTTATATTAGCATTTTCTACTTATAATTCTTAATTCTCACCCATATATGAGAGATAAAGATCTGACTTCAGATATCTAAATATACAGGATTCTATTATTCTAATTCATCTTTCTTAAAATTGGTATTTCTTGACTTTATTTAAGTAAAAAATAATATTTTATCTACATAGTAAATGAGTTCGACTGGTCATTTAAAAAATAATTCACTTTTCCCGTTTTCTTCAGCCAAACAGTACGACAGATCTTTAAAAGTTAAATTGTCAATTGACATAAGCGAAAAAGAGTCCGAAATAATTGGATAAGCACGGGAATGCATCGCAAAGTGCGATTTATCCCCTTCACGCGCGAATACAAATATCGCGTGCGTATCCTAGAAAGGTGTGAAGAAGAACTAGATCCTAGAACAGTGTAGGCAATTGCCTTATTTGATTTTTTGTGATATGGATAATTGTTTTTGCGTTATTTGTTAATTGTGAATCAAAAACTCAGCAAAATAAATTAGTCAGGCTTCTAGCATTGGACATGTAACATTTTTTAATGTAGGAAACATTTATAAGAGCAAATCACTGACCTCCATATAATATGAACGTAAGTGGTGCAGATTTGGAAAAGCGGGTTAAGTGGCGTAACAATTGAACGACAGTACTTATCCCTCAATTGTCATGAGCCTAGCTATAGAAATGGGCAGTAGTGATTGGTAGTAATCCGGCGCGCATCCCATGTTATTTTGGGGGAGGGGAGAGGAGGACGGGGATCAGTGGTTAGGGCAAATGGTAGCACACCATCGCCACAAGCCGCACCGCAGAATTAGTTTGAAACGCCGAATATTAACAAAAGGCATACTTCTGGGTTGATATAATCAGCTGACGTTAAAAAGTTAATTCCATATCAAGGTGAGCTTCAATATTATGCAATAATGTTTGTATAATGAAGTAAATAGAAGTGCGTAACATTGCTTATGCATATTGTGTTGGTTGTTTTTAAAGGATGAGGTTTATCCCGATTTTCACTTATTCGGTGTAATTAATTAATGTTAAAAAAAAATTGATATTTGGCCTGACGAGTTTTAGCTTTTATGCCTAATGCAATTTTTCAAAATGAAATTCAGTGTAAACAAGTTGTGCATGATTTGAAGTCAAGACTAGATGTTGAATGGTGTGAAAAAGACGTCATTGAAGAATTTCTATATCCAATTTTAGGTGTCAATAAATTGTATTTCTGTGAAACAAAAACTGATTTTTCTCTGACCTGATTTAATCACCATTCAGCATTTAGAAGTAATTTAGTATACTTATTTATCTTTCCATTAGTTACCATGAAAGCAAAAATTCATAGGAGTGAGCCAGAAAAATCAGCTGCAAAAATGGAGGAGTCAAAAGAGAAAGGTGAAAATGAAAGAGATGACAAGCCTCGTAGTCGACAGAGCAAACGTAATATAAATAAAATCGTCAAGTATCATGAGTTTGAAGATGAAAATTCTGGAGAAGAAGACAATGTGAGACCCAGGGGCCGACAGGCAAAAAGAAAAAGGGGTGAATCAGAAGACGACGAGTTTGCAGATGATGACAACAAAAAGAAGAAAAGTAATCCGAGTGGTAGAGGTAGGAAAACAAAAGAGAAAGGGAATATAGAAATCGTAGATATTGAATCAGATGGAGAAGAAAAAACAAAAAAAGAGAAAAATGTTGGAACCAAGAAAATGAATCAAACTTCAAGTGATTATTCTTCCATTAATTTTTCATGTAACAAATCTACAATAGATGGAAAGACATGGAATTTTAAAATTTCTTCATGGAATGTGGGCGGACTGAAAGCATGGTTAAAGGTAAGTGGATTTTGTGTATTTTTGCATTCCTTTTCAAAGACAATAGAAAGGCATTTTCAACAAAATAGTTACAATTATTAACAAAAGTTCAAGAAAAATAATCATAAGAAAAAATACTAATTGAAATAAATACGTCTTTCTTATTGTTAGAAGTTTGAACGATGTATGTTTGATACATCATAATGAAACTTGTTGCTTTTGCATCCCTCTGCTAATGACTTGAGGTGCCAAAACCGTAGGCATGCATACCAAGGGGCCAAAGTCCCAATTTTTTAAAACTGATAATTTGGGGAATTGATACGTGATGTGTGGGGAAGAAGCTTTCGAAACCTTGGCAACCCTGTAAACGATCAACCCACAATCAATTCTTTTTATTAATTGTATCATTACACTTGTAATTTCATTCTCCTTGTTGTATGTTTTATTTATTTACTTGAAAAATATGCCATATGTAAGTAAAAAGGTTTAATGGAAAAGTGGTCCCAGCAATGTAGGTGCCCCTCCTCTTGTTTTAGTTTGTGCATACCTATTGCTCATTTGGCATGATGTCCATACCTAACAAACTTTTTTCTTTAATAAATAAAAATTGGCGGGTTCTCCAACCCTCTGTTGTTTCATTTTCTTTAGAATATCCATTACAAATGTAAAAATTGATTGTTTTGTATTTTTTTCTTTCCCTTCCTCAGAAAGATGGCCTCCAGTTCCTCAAGTATGAGAATCCAGATATTTTTTGCCTCCAAGAGACAAGATGCTCGGAGAGCAAACTTCCTCCAGAAACCAAAGTGGATGGTTATCACGCATACTGGCTTATGGGTGAGTGAGTGGCTGCTATCTCCTGCCACCCTCTGCTGTGATTTGCAGGTAAACCCCAACCCATGATTTTCTCAATCCTGTTCCTTTTGAAAATTCTTCCGTATTACTAGCCAACCTGTGACACTCAATAGCTTAAAACCGAATTGAATGGGATGATCTTTATTTAAGATGAGGATTCAAGCTTTTAGGATTGCTCTTCTATTTGGTTTGAATGTTTTGAAAATTCTTCTTCTTTGAGACGTAGGTATGGGATTAGGATTATATGTTTATCATGTTTAAGAATGTATAACCACAATTTTTCTTTTATCTGAAGGATATTATGAGATAAACTTATATCAGATTTTATTGAATAATAATAATAAATTGTAAAATGTTTTGAAAGTTTTAAAAACTGTTTTCCATAAATACAGGAATAGTGAGATCTTGGCTAGCAATGAGCAAAAAAGAAACATTTGATTGGCCTTTAATATATTTTGAATATTATGACTATAAGTTTGAGATATAGCATAGCTCATATAACCACTACCTCAAGAAACTGCATTGAAATATGTCAGTACCTTTGGGATCCATGAAAGCATGTTCACATTAATTCCTATTTCCCCGACCTGTTGTCCAGTTTTGCCACTTCATACCTTCATCTCTCATTTCACTTTGATTCTGCTTTACTGATACTACCCAACAGTTAGCCTTTGTTGGTTTAAAGAGATTATGAATGGTGTGTGAATTAATAGGATGGATCCCCTTGAATAGTTGAATGTCTCCTGCTGAAAAAGTATTAATTTGTCCCCACCAGGACCACAATTACATTATACACTTATAATGGCTGCATCAGCTCTAGTTTTGAAGTCAGAATGAAAAGAACAAGTTTGCCACTTTCGGAATCACAGTTAATTAATTAATATGTTTGGTGGATTTCATTACAAACCGGCATATTTGAATTCCCCATACCTTTTTAATGTGCACTGTTTCTTTCACATAATTTTTAGTACTCCAGTCATGTATTTAAAAATAAAACTTTGCATTCCTTAATCACAATAATTTATCCAATTTCTCCAAACCTGCTGTAAATTTTGTCATTTTGCGAAGGCTTTCCAGCCTTTCTATCAACAAAAAAGCAATGAGCCACACTAAGTAGCTTTTTGTTTTGGATTTAATTTATTGCTCCTGAAGTGAATGTGGTTACATCTGAATGTATTTATTTACTTGGTGTGACAGCCCATGAATGGGCTCAGGCCTATTGGGGAAGTCCCTACCTTGTGGCCATGGGTTTAGGGAGTATGTGTGGTTAGCACTGAGACATTCCCAAGCCATATTCTTGTCTTCTCAACCTGAGAAGTGAATTTTCTCATTCACACAGCAACATATACTGGGGCATTGCAAGGAAAAGGCACACTATAATCTTACTTCGCCCGGAATCAAACCCGGGGCCATGTAGTGGAAAGTGAGAATGCTGACCAACAGCTAGCCACAAGTCTGTGGTTGCATATAATACAAGCTAATATCCATCTAAAGTGTTCTGACGGATACGTATGAGGGAATCTACAATTCGCTTATTTATTAGTTCTATGTATGTTGAGCTTCCTCAATAAAGTAGTGTTTGAATAGTCTAGATGCCTTTTGCTACATGTGGCGAGGACTCTTGTACTCTCACACAACTAAATGTACTCTCACACAACAAATGTGGCTCTGTTCCAAGTTAGTCACTCATTCTGCATGAAGAGTCAAGATGATTGCTTTAGTTTAAAAAATATTAAGTATTATGAACATCAGTGGGTAAATTGTGTTGATCTGAAGTCTGTGAATTTTCTTCTCGGTCAACAAGTGGCTACACAAATTATCTCTACTTTATATTTCTGTGAGAGCAGAACTAAAAGTGAGCATTCGCTGAGAAAAACTTGGCTTCTGAGGAAATATATAAATGTAAGGAAAAACAATGTGCTCAATTTACCTTTAGTTGCTCGAGAGAAATTTATTCTCCCCCCTTTACATTATGAGCTAGGCTTGATGTAGCAATTTGTACAGTCGTTGGAGGGAGGTTGGTTTGTGCTTCCAGTGTATATTACATACATTTGCGGGAGTCATCAATGAGAAACTAAAGCAGGGATTTTTGGTGAGTTTTCAAATATGAAAGCCCATAAAAGTTTCATATTTCATGAAATCCATGAGTGAAATGGAATCTTGTGCCTGGTCTTTTTTTGTTCTAGTTGTAAAAAACTTTCTAGTAAAGCATAAAGCAGAAAACTTTTCACTATTGGAAACAATGCTTTATAATTTCCATGTACTTGGATGCAATGAGTATTAAGACCCATTACTTACATAGCCACTTTGATTGCTTTCCTTCACTTGATCTAAGTGAAGAGTAAGGTGAAAGATTTCATCAAGATATTCACCAATGGAAAAAAGGCATCAGGAAAAATCGGATACACAGATTTTGGCAGACCACTGTTGGAACATGCAGCAAGACTGCTATGGAATTTCTCAGTCCAAAAAATCTGTTAAATTCAATGTTTGGGTGTTGAACGAATGGTTGATTTTGTGAATTTTTATAACATAATGATGAAAAATTATGTGATTTTCAGTTACCTACTTTATATATTTCATTTATAAAAACAAATTTATTTTATTTTACAACAAGTTAACACCAGTAAAGTAAATATTTTATGCCCAAATGCCATTGATGCATCTGAATTCTAGAACACATAATGTAGAAGTGGGGTGTATGATGATAATTCTATATTTACAAAACTAGAGCTAATAGGCCAAAACTCATGCATTTTTTGGAATCGGTGACGTCGAAATACCCAGAAAAAAGTTTAACATTTGAGGCACCAAAATGTGTGTTCAGCGTTATTATTCAACTCATTCACAGTTGGTTCAAAAAATTATATGCTTCTTTCATCTTGTCACTTCTTACTTCTTTAAAATTGTTGAATGTACTCGCCGGGTAAAATTTCCAATTTGCCATCTGGTTGTGAAACATAGTCACATAAACTTCTACCCTCTCGCCTAAAACCCTGCATGAATTTCAAAACATATATTTCTTCTAATACTACATTTTATAATTTTTTTGTGTTTATTATTACAATTTTCAGTTATGCAACTTCTTTAACAATTTATTTCAGACACTTCCTCACGATTCAATCTAGTTGGTGTTAAACGTCTTGTCTGTTGGTGAATTTACATAGCCAATAAATGAAATAGGATTTTGTGAGGATTCTCGGCTGCAAGTTTTTTTCTTTTAACTTCTTAGGTAAATAGAGTAAATTACTCTTATAAAGGTGGTGGCGTATGTGTGATTATCATTGCTAACTCTAAATTTTCGAAATTTCGAAAAATAAAAATAGTACGAAAATGTCTGTGCCACTCTGTGCCACCACTAACTTTTCCGTATATACGGAGTATAAGGAAAGTTATGTAATGCTGCGGAAAATCGATTTCTAGATTTCAAAGGCAAATGTTAAGGGCCCCTGATACTGAAAAGTGTTTTTTTTTTTTTTTTTGCAAATGTCCATCTGTGAATACCACTAGTTCCTAAGGATTTTTTTCCAAATTGAAGAAATCTCTGTCCATCTGACTCGAATTGAAACTTTGTGATTTTCAAAAACTTTCTTTAAAAGTAGGGGATATTTGGTATGAATTCCCTGCGACATTTTCAATTTTTTCTGAAGAACTGCACCAAATTTCTTTAAGTTTCTTGTAAGAATAGAGTAAAATACACTTATAAAGATATCATAGGTCCGATTTTCGGAGCTAACTCTAAATTTTCGCGCGTCTTCCTAAAACTACAAAATTAAAGAGAAGATACACATTTTTCTTCAAATAAAATATGTTCTCCATAGTGAGTTCTTTCATTAAGATTTTCGTGCAATATTGCGTGGAATATGTGCAATTTTAAAAAAATTAAGGAAACAAGATTTTCTCAAAAAGCTTCCATTTTTTTCTTTAAACATTTGGTAGATTATGCCCTCTTTAAGAAGATGTAAATGCTATATTGCTCTATTCTTTTGGTTTTTCAAAAATTACAAAAATGTAAATTTTTTGACTTCTCTCACGTTAATATTTATACTATCGACAATTTGTGCACATCATTATATGTAGGAGAACATGTGCTTTAAATAATGTAGTATAAAGATTCTCGAAAATAACTATTTTGTGTGATAACTAGCTCAATATTCCGCATTTTCAGA